AGAGAGTGTGTGTGCGTGGATGAGCCACATTACCTTGACTGTGGAATCCCAGGATGCAGTGAATAGTCTGTTTCCCTTCCACCTCACACACGACACTGCAGGTACACACAAAACAGGTCACACAGTGTGATGTGTGTCATGATAGTGAGAGCACAGACACAACTGAGACCAAGTCATTCTGTTTTCTTCACTGACATTCTAAGCTAGACTGCGTATACTAACACTGCCCATCATCATCATCAGCAAACAGGATGCAGAGTTTGGCTGACATCACAGTAAGACAATCATTGGTTAGTTTCCCTGTCTGAAGCATGCTCATATCTTGTGTATCTTTAATATCCCCAAAACATCCTGTATCCATTAAATGGGCTGTGGTCAGCCACAACTCTGCTTGTACAGCCACGTGATGCTTGGTGTACACACCTGACATTCCCATTAATGATGTTGTTAACTCTTTCAGTCCCAAGGAATGCATCATACGTTGATTAGTTCCTACCTAGAGGCCCAATGAACACAAGATGCGTTGATTTTACCTTTCTCTCTACTACCCCTTGGGCCTTTGATGCTAAACCCCATGGGACTCACAGAGTTAATCAGCTAGTTCTCTTGGATGGTCAGATCCTGCAGAATCTGTTTGCTTTCCTCTTAATGCATATTAGTTTTATCATTTTCAATTTAAAATGTAGCCTTAATTTTTTAATACTGTTCTATGAAACAGTCCCCAGTTCATGTGAATTTATGTCACGGGAAAGATGCATGTTTGGAAAACTGTTGCTTTTACTTGTTTGCTGTGCTAAAGATTCTTCATGAGGTTCAACAGTTGCACTTCTAGGGACAGAAATTCTCTCTTTCTGTGACATTGTCACATTCTTTATTGCTGACTGAAATCACATGCGGTTTTGTCCACGGATAATTTTAGAAAAACATTTTCAAGCTCATATTTTCATCTTGGGTTTCTTTAAAGAGAACTAACTGTTCTAATTCCCTGGCACTGTCAGAGAGGAGCAACACAACATCCACATATTTGAGTTTTGGAATGGGATTTCCATCACTGACAAATAGATCACAACTGTCTGTTGTCAACCATTTACTGATTAGCTGACATACATAATCTTGTTTAGTTTTTCCTCTTCTATACTGTTCCACCTTGGCTCCCAGGTCGACCCAGCATAAAACTAGTACAGGTAATTCATGGGATGTAAAGGTGATCAGCATGATGTTGAGACCAAATCACCCATAGTGTACCAGCTGGTCTATAAAATATTGCTCTATTACTATAAGTTCAATGCATAGAGGCTTGCAAAAGACTATTTACTTTTATACTGCAGGGTACACCATCTTTGTCGGCTCTGTGGCTAAGTCAATGCGAACGCTTCTAAATGCCGATTTGCCGGGTTCGATCCCAGCTGCGGGCCATGCGCCTTGCATTGGTTTCGACAGTGGTATCAAGAAAGCCGACCTTCCAGAAAGCAATGGCAAACTACTGGACGTAAAATTTGCTTAGAAAAAAACCACACAACAGCCAGGGGCTGTTGGGGTTGGTTCTGCAACGTCCTGTAAAGGATACGCAACTAACAAACACCATCTTTAGTACAGAGAGTTTTGCTACCCAAACATGAATACTGCCCAGATGTGTTAGCTCACGCCAGTCATGTGTGCACCACGCAGAAACTGTTTATATACTGGTAGTTAGACAAAGAAATGCTGTTGACTGGTAAAACATGGTTACATACAAGTAGCAGTCAGACATGAATAAACCACAGACCAGCATCATCATGTGCACACAAGGTGTCCAGGACTCGGCCATACTCTATACTGTAGAAATATCTGTGGAAGCAAACGTAAGGCTGCATCAGTGACCCTGCTGACACCAGCAACAACCTCTCTGATCTCTCTCTTTCTCTTGTCTGACGCATGACCATGTACGAAACAAACAGACCAAACACAGACGTATACACTGGCTATATGTGAGCTTGCACAAGCAATCTCTCTCTCTTTCTCTTGTCTGACGCATGACCATGTACGAAACAAACAGACCAAACACAGACGTATACATTGGCTATATGTGAGCTTGCACAAGCAATCTCTCTCTCTTTCTCTTGTCTGACGCATGACCATGTACGAAACAAACAGACCAAACACAGACGTATACATTGGCTATATGTGAGCTTGCACAAGCAATCATTCTCTCTCTTTCTCTTGTCTGACTCATGACCATGTACGAAACAAACAGACCAAACACAGACGTATACACTGGCTATACGTGATCTTGCACAAGCAATCTCCCGCTCTCTTTCCCTTGTTGGATGCATGACCATGTACGAAACAAACAGACCAAACACAGACGTATACACTGGCTATATGTGAGCTTGCACAAGCAATCTCTCTCTCTCTTTCTCTTGTCGGACGCACGACCATGTACGAAACGAACAGACCAAACACAGACGTATACACTGGCTATATGTGAGCTTGCACAAGCAATCTCTCGCTCTCTTTCTCTTGTCAAATGCATGACCATGTACGAAACGAACAGACCAATCACAGACGTATACAATGGCTATATGTGAGCTTGCACAAGCAATCTCTCTCTCTCTTTCCCTTGTCGGACACATGACCATGTACGAAACGAACAGACCAAACACAGACGTATACACCGGCTATACATGATCTTGCACAAGCAATCTCTCTCTCTCTTTCTCACTCACTCACATGCATGCACCCGCGCACACACACACACATATATATTTTCTTCTTCTTCTTCTTAGTCCATGCCGTTTGGCGTTGGTGATCTTGTCTATCCACAACCCTCTGTCCCGTGTACTTTCAATCAACTTTGACACAGATGATCCTCCATACCATAATGTCATACTGTCCAGCATTTGTTCTCTCTGTCTTCCTTTCTCTCCTCCTCTCCAACTTTCCTACCGTCACAATGAACTCCAGTTTTCTCCTTCTCTTCGCATGCCCAAAGAATATAGATTGTCTTTTTTTGATGTGGGAAATCAGTTCTCTTTGTAAGTTAGTTTCTTTCAAGACATCTTCATTACTCTTCTGATCTGTCTGGAGTATTGTCATCACTGGTCTATAAAACCACACCTCCACAGCTTCACATTTGTGTGTGTCCACTAATCTACCAACTGTCCATGATATCCACTTCTGTATATCAAGATAGGATTTATATCCCTTTCAAGAATTCTCTTTCTCATCTCAAATGACAATGAACAATTGCATAAATATATATGCGATACACAGACCATGGTAATTTCTTATAAAACACTGATATAGCCATTGGGCTTCTGCTGTGGGCTACAGAAATATGTGATCTTGTCCTTGTCACATAAACTAAGGTCTTAACTGAGTCTAGTCAGGGCAGCACTCAAAAAACTATGAGGCTGTACAAATATGAGTTTGTATGGTGCTGTATATATATGAGGCTGTACATATATGAGACTGAGGCTGTACAAATATGAGTTTGTATGGTGCTGTATATATATGAGGCTGTACATATATGAGACTGAGGCTGTACAAATATGAGACTTTTGTGGCTGTACAAATGTGACTGAACCAATAAGAGTCTGTACACAAATGAGATTGTATAAGGCTGTACTTACACTTTGTTGTCCCAACAACCAACCACGATAGTTTTCTCCTCTATGACCTCACAGCTGGACAGTGCCTGTAGGGACAAGTGTCAGGTTCTAACTCACAGTCAGTGCAAGCATGTCAGAATACATGGTACACAGTTCACACACAAACACAGCCACTAAATCAGTAAACACAAACAACAGATAAACACATCAAAAACAAATGTTAAAACAGTGGTCACAGACAACATTAACACACATCAACAGTGGATACATAATAAGAGCAGACATACACAAGAACAACAGCAACAGTTGTACACAACAGCAGATACAGAAATACAAATACATAGGCCATCAGAACACAACAACAACAAGAGCATACACTGCCAGAACATGCCACCAGAGATACACACACAGCATCAATAACTCAAAGAGAAATGACTGCCACTGGATTCAAACATAAGAGTAAGTGTGATGAGTCCATAAGGTGTCGGGTTTGACTCGGAAACACAAATATGTGGGTCTCCCATGGTAGACAAACCCTATGGTGTAAAGGGGATAGGGATGCTAACAAGCTTAGTATAGTCGTCAACCAGGGACACCAGTGGAGGGGTGAGAACATCAGTGGAGGGGTGAGAACACCAGTGGAGGGGTGAGAACACCAGTGGAGGGTTGGGGACACCAGTGGAGGGTTGGGGACACCAGTGGAGGGTTGGGGACACCAGTGGAGGGTTGGGGACACCAGTGGAGGGTTGGGGACACCAGTGGAGGGTTGGGGACACCAGTGGAGGGTTGGGGACACCAGTGGAGGGTTGGGTACACCGGTAGAGGGTTGGGGACACCAGTGGAGGGTTGGGGACACCAGTGGAGGGTTGGGGACACCAGTGGAGGGTTGGGGACACCAGTGGAGGGGTGAGAACACCAGTGGTGGGATGAGAACACCAGTGGAGGGGTGAGAACACCAGTGGAGGGTTGGGAACACCAATGGAGGGTTGGGAACACCAGTGGAGGGGTGAGAACACCAGTGGAGGGGTGAGAACACCAGTGGAGGGGTGAGAACACCAGTGGAGGGTTGGGGACACCAGTGGAGGGGTGAGAACACCAGTGGAGGGGTGGGAACACCAGTGGAGGGGTAAGAACACCAGTGGAGGGGTGAGAACACCAGTGGAGGGGTGAGAACACCAGTGGAGGGGTGAGAACACCAGTGGAGGGGTGAGAACACCAGTGGAGGGGTGAGAACACCAGTGGAGGGGTGAGAACACCAGTGGAGGGGTGAGAACACCAGTGGAGGGTTGGGGACACCAGTGGAGGGGTGAGAACACCAGAAGAGGGGTGAGAACACCTCTATTCTGACAGATGTAGCGAAAACAAGGCTACATGAGGTCCTCCAGCTGGCTGCTGACAACACAATAGTTTAACCAGATGTTGAAGTCAAACATTCAAGACCCTTCTCCTGCCAGTGCTGAACTGGACACCTAGTGCTACACACATATTTTTATACAGCAATGGACATTTAATGATGATGTGGTCAAAATTATGTCGGCCACCTTTGCCTCCTAGGATGCTTTCTTGTACCCATTTTAGGCTAGGCCAATCTGGGAGTTAAAGTGAATTATACAAATCCTTCTGGCTGGGAATTCAAACCCAGCCAAGTGTCTAAGCCAGAGCTTTCTAAACTGTGTCACGGCACCTTGGTGTGTCTGCTGCAGTGTGAAAATGTATCTATGCTAACATAATTTATGTTTATGTCCATAACTCTTATAAGAGGTTAGTTTAGCCTTTGGTTTGCTAGTACACTACATGTGTCACAGAACTGTGTTTGTCTGACAAGTGTGTCACCAACATGAAATGCTTGAAAAACCTTGGTCTAAGATGTAGTAGCAGTTACATTTATAGTTAACTTAACTGTATCAATTCTAGGAGAGAACCAGATAGTGATACAGTAAGTATAGTTCTGGGTGGTTAGTCTTTCCAAACTGCAGCAAAGCTACCAGGGTCAAGTGATGGAACCCTCACACAAACACTTGAGAACTGTCTCCAGACAACACAGACAACTTACCATCAAAGACATGTTAACACTGCGTAGTTGCACCTGGTCCTCCAGCGAGTACATTTTCAAAAAGCTGTCTGCAAAAAAAGAAAGATAAACCTGATTGTTGTGAACATTTTATCAGTGACTGCTGCAAGTTTGAAGACACTCGCATCCACTACAAGACGTGTCAGTGTACGTATAGCTGAGAGATGAACAAATTTGACCATGTCACTCTACATGGATCTTACTGGGCGCCCCACGGCAAAGTGGCCAAACTGATAGCTCTGTGTTCTGAATGTCATGGGCTCATTTTACGGCGGCATCATTCTGTTCAGGAGTGCAATAACTAAGTATGAAGATGCTGAAACATTACTTCTAGAATGGCTGAACCATATGTACGCTTCCAATCTGCCTGTTCAGTAAAAAGCAAATGAGACAGCTACAAATGTAAACATTCCAGATTTCACTTATGCTGGTTGGCTGTACCATTTTCAAATGGGGCGCTCAGTTGAACCAATAATGATCAGTGGTGAAGCAAATAATGATGAAGGAGCAAGCAACTGGTTGCATGAATCTGACAGAGTGAGAGAAAAGTCTGCTTTGTGTGATTGTACAATGTGGACCAAACTGGTTTCCAGACAGAGGTGCAAGAGTCACACCATGGAAGAGATTGAAGTCAAATCATGAAATATTCCTCAAGACAACGGTGGTACACTGTAGCCAACCTTCTTTATGAAGATGGCAGATAATGTTTTGTCAATGGAGTCCCCATTTAGCCTGAATTTCGGTTAACATGCATTTTTTTTTAGTACCTTGGAGTTTGTGTTAAAAAGGGTTTACTGTCTATACAAACATGTCTCATTTACTAGCAGACTAAGATTTACCACACACACCCACACTGCCTGAGTTATACTGCTCACACACAAACAAGCCAAATATCATTCAAATGTGGGGTGTTACTGCAGTAAATGTCTGCCTCTAACTTGTACACAACTGTTTTCATTCCCAGTGTGGTTAACTTGCTGCTGATCCCGGGGTAGTAGACTGGACATACAGACTCTTGGACACAGGCAGAAAACTGAGCATCAGTGTTGACACTGCACATTAAGCATTCCTCACTTTGAAATTCAAAAGTTCAGGCTGAATATGCCACCACCCAGACATAGGTTAAAACTAAGAAAAGCTACCCACTATAATATTTATAGCATATGTCTCGGCTAATCAATGTGCGGCCTGCAGGCTGGATCTGGCCTGCTGAAGCCTTGCAAATAAATCATTGCCAGGTGCATTAATGATCTTTCTATGATGAAGCCTAGCAAGTGGATCATTGCCAGGTGTATTAATGATCTTTCTATGCTGAAGCCTAGCAAGTGGATCATTGCCAGGTGTATTAATGATCTTTCTATGCTGAAGCCTAGCAAGTGGATCATTGCCAGGTGCATTAATGATCTTTCTATGCTGAAGCCTAGCAAGTGGATCATTGCCAGGTGTATTAATGATCTTTCTATGCTGAAGCCTAGCAAGTGGATCATTGCCAGGTGCATTAATGATCTTTCTATGCTGAAGCCTAGCAAGTGGATCATTGCCAGGTGCAATAATGATCTTTCTATGCTGAAGCCTAGCAAGTGGATCATTGCCAGGTGTATTAATGATCTTTCTATGCTGGTGCTCTGGCATCTAGCCCGGGATGATCCCACACTTTCAACACTGTAACCCCTTAGTAAACTTAGCTGAACAGCCCTGGCCTATGTGATTCTGACAGACAGCATGCAGGTGCTACAATGTTGGTGCCTGTGCTACATCTCACTATCTTGGTATGATCTCAAGGAGAAAGCTGGAGAACTTGTGTAGGTCTCTGTGTGCCACGAAGGTGGTTCTTGATGACACCAAAACTAAAATAAATCACTGACAAACAGACTAATTGACCTACCTTTGGACACAGAAAACACACTTCGACCATCTGGGGACAAGCGGACTTCTGTAACAGCACTGTTGGGGGGATAATAAATTTGAAAGTGTGTCATTAACATGTGCCCATACATGTCAGATAGTGTCGGTCAAAGAGGGATGTGCACTTGAGCCAGTGAGACACAAGTGAGGCAGCTAGCAGCAGCTAGTGATCCAACAAAGGAATAAACATAACCATAACAATACATGCCTGCACAACTAGTGATCATGTGTTCAAATCCCCATTACAAAGGATGTAAAAACATATAACTCAGTTCTCAGGTACACAAATCTAAAAATTGCTACCAGGAAATGTAATAGGAAGTAAAAGTGGCTGTCATGTTACTGACTATATCACTCATTGAATGCCAACATGCCTCAGTGTGTGGACACTGGCTACTGGCTCCACAAACAATGAGTCTGATGTAGTTGATAACAATATTTTCCCATGGCTGCATCAGTGTCTGGACACTGGCTACTGGTTCCACAAACAATGAGTCTGACGTAGTTGATAACAATATTTTCCCTTGGCTGCATCAGTGTGTGGACACTGGCTACTGGCTCCACAAACAATGAGTCTGACGTAGTTGATAACAATATTTTCTCATGGCTGCATCAGTGTCTGGACACTGGCTACTGGCTCCACAAACAGTAAGTCTGATGTAGCTAATAACAATATTTTCCCATGGCTGCATCAGTGTGTGGACACAGGCAGCTGACACTGGCCACTGACAACACCAGCAGCTGCAGACTAAAAGATGGAGTTGGAAACCTGCAGAACATGATGCCTACAACTTCACCACTTAGCCAGACAGACTCATTCACACAATAAATGTATTCAACAAACAACAACACAAGTAGAACAAAGACATACTCCTTGTGCAGTGTGTACTGTAAGTAGCAGGTCAGCTTGTTGAGGTCTGTGATGGCTTTCTGACTGGCTGGATCCTCTGTCACCTCGGCTGAAACAAACAAAACATAATACTGAAGTTCATGTGAACAAGCAGTTCTCAAGTGTTTCTGGCAGCCTTGTATCTGTGACTTCATCTCTACACTGTCTGTATGAGTCAACTGTCAGAGAAAGCCTACACAATTTCTGATATATGACCAGTTTCCTGCAATACTGGAACAGCTTGGCTGACAGAGAGGAACAGATAGACAGAAACTGGGAGGGGGAGGAGAGAGAGAGAGAGGAGAGAGAGACAGAGAGAGAGAGACAGAGAGAGAGAGAGACAGAGAGCGAGAGAGCAAGAGAGAGAGAGAGCACGAGAGAGCGAGCATGAGAGAGAGAGCGAGAGAAAGAGAGAGAGAAAGAGAGAGAGAGAGAGTGAGAGAGAGACAGAGAGAGAGCGAGAGAGAGACAGAGGGAGGGAGAGAGAGAGAGAGGCAGATGTGCACATGCGCATGCATGCAGACACACAGACTGACCTGGCTGCTCAGTGGCTGACTCGTGCACCTCTGAGATATGACTAGTCTCCACCAGCTGTGGACTGGGTAGGCTGGACACAAGGGCAGGGATGCTCTGACAGGTGAATCTCTGAGGATGTGGAGTTTTGAAGAGTTGCTTTGGAGTTTGTCCAAACTCCATGATCTGAGTCTCCAGACTTGTACGTTCAGACGCATCTTTGATACTGCACAGTAGAACAGGTAAGTTTACTCGAGTCATTTCTAACACATAACGGAACTTGACAGGTTAAATGAAAACATTTCAATAGAGACAAGGTAGAACTAGGTCGGCTTCACAATATCACAGTCATGAACAAACAAAATGGATGTAGCTAGAAAGTGTTCACCACCAGATTACACACAGGACAATTTTTAAAAAAATACCTCAAATCACTTGGCTTTAGCAGGAGGTCTGTCACACAATCACAGGAGAAGCTCTGTGTAACACACGTTACCGCAGAATGAAGATACTGGACAGGGAGTGACCCAGAGAGTACTGAAGGTAGGCAAATATTACAGCTCAAAGCTGTGCTAGTCTATGAACTTAGTCACGATAACCAATAAGGTTGAGGTTGGGCTAGTCAATCAGTTTCAAACTGGGACTTGTCAATCAGATTGAAAGCAATAACTTGCAAACATAAATAATTGTAAAGCTGGGTTTGTCAACCAGCTTGAAGTTGAGATAGTCAATAAGCTTCAGGTTGTAAAACACTCCTGCCAGAACTCAAAGTTGTCTCAACCCCTGCCCCCCCCCCCCCAATTGTTCTCTGACTCCCTCTTCATATACACACACATACAGCTATCAGTGTCAAAATACAAACACTGACCATAGTTTATGTGTGTGAGTCACTAACTGAACACATACACAATTCTAATGCCATAGCTGGTACTGCTGTACTGATGTGAACTGATCAGATAGGTCATAACATTATGAGGTCAGCTGATCAACTCCCTTCCACACTGCAGGTATCACCCTACAAACATTTCTCATACCCTCATTAGTAGGCTTTCTCTTGCAGGACTCCATACATACTTTCTGGTTATCTTTCACAACACTACTCATCAATGCAATCCTTATCTGACTCATCAAATATGCACTCTATCTTCCTCTTTCACAGCACCTCCCGCACATATGTTAAAAACCTCACCTGTCCAGATCAATGGCTCCCTCGTAGGTCAGGTAATAAAATACTGAAATAAAACCACACAGAAACATTCAGGTGAGTTACAAGCACACAAACTAATGTCCACAAACAAAACACTCAAAGAACTCAGCCTTTGTTACCACTGTAACCATTTTACCCTTTCATACTTTTTGCTTTCCAGAGAGATCTTTGGTATCTGTTCACAACAGTGGGCTAACCCTAGGATCTGTTCACAAGAGTGGGCTAACTGTGAGATATCCGGTATCTGTTCACAAGACTGGACTGACCCTAGGATCTCTGGTATCTGTTCACAACAGTGGGCTAACCATAGGATCTGTTCACAACAGTGGGCTAACTGTGAGATATCCGGTATCTGTTCACAAGACTGGACTAACCCTAGGATCTCTGGTATCTGTTCACAACAGTGGACTAACCCTAGGATCTCTGGTATCTGTTCACAACAGTGGGCTAACCATAGGATCTCTGGTATCTGTTCACAACAGTGGGCTAACCATAGGATCTGTTCACAACAGTGGGCTAACCCTAGGATCTCTGGTATCTGTTCACAACAGTGGGCTAACCATAGGATCTCTGGTATCTGTTCACAACAGTGGGCTAACCATAGGATCTGTTCACAACAGTGGGCTAACCCTAGGATCTCTGGTATCTGTTCACAACAGTGGGCTAACCATAGGATCTCTGGTATCTGTTCACAACAGTGGGCTAACCATAGGATCTCTGGTATCTGTTCACAACAGTGGGCTAACCATAGGATCTGTTCACAACAGTGGGCTAACCATAGGATCTCTGGTATCTGTTAACAACAGTGGGCTAACCATAGGATCTCTGGTATCTGTTCACAACAGTGGGCTAACCATAGGATCTCTGGTATCTGTTCACAACAGTGGGCTAACCCTAGCATTTCTGGTATCTGTTCACAAGTGTCATAACAACAGGATCTCTGGTATCTGTTCACAAGTGTCATAACAACAGGATCTATGGTATCTGTTCACAAGACTGGACCCACCCCAGGATCTCTAGTATCTGTTCACAAGACTGGACTGACAGCAGGATATCATGTATCTGTTCACAAGACTGGACTAACCCCAGGATATCATGTATCTGTTCACAAGACTGGACTGACCCCAGGATATCATGTATCTGTTCACAAGACTGGACTGATAGCAGGATATCATGTATCTGTTCACAAGACTGGACTGACCCCAGGATATCATGTATCTGTTCACAAGACTGGACTGATCCCAGGATATCATGTATCTGTTCACAAGACTGGACTGACAGCAGGATATCATGTATCTGTTCACAAGACTGGACTGACCCCAGGATATCATGTATCTGTTCACAAGACTGGACTGACCCCAGGATATCATGCATCTGTACACAATACTGGACTGACCCCAGGATATCATGCATCTGTACACAAGACTGGACTGACCCCAGGATATCATGCATCTGTACACAAGACTGGACTGACTCCAAGATATCATGCATCTGTACACAAGACTGGACTGACCGCAGGATCTCTGGTATCTGTTGACAAGACTGGACTGACCCCAGGATCTCTGGTATCTGTTGACAAGACTGGACTGACCCCAGGATCTCTGGTATCTGTTGACAAGACTGGACTGACCCCAGGATCTCTGGTATCTGTTGACAAGACTGGACTGACCCCAGGATCTCTGGTATCTGTTGACAAGACTGGACTGACCCCAGGATCTCTGGTATCTGTTGACAAGACTGGACTGACCCCAGGATCTCTGGTATCTGTTGACAAGACTGGACTGACCCCAGGATCTCTGGTATCTGTTGACAAGACTGGACTGACCCCAGGATCATTGGACAACATATTGATAGCCCTTTGGTCTTGTTCCAGAACTTTAGTTATGCATGCACGTCTGTCTTATTTGTGTACAGACTGTTGGTTCCTAGCCTTTTAGGCAGATGTAGAAGGAAACTGCCCTATTTAGTTAGGGAGCAGTAAGTGTTTCCTCCCCCCCTCCTTTTTCAAATGGGGTACCGGAACCCACACGAGAGAACATCAATCAACAATCTAGTGTGGTACTGACAAATCCTCACCCTGAGAGAGACCAGTTTCAGAACTACAGAGACAAAACAAAGATTACCATTGTCTGCTTTCTCAGCTTCCTCGCCTCGCTGCTGGTACCCAAAAATAAGGTCAATCCATCTGTGAATCTGACGAGACACGATATCTGACTCCAGGGCTTTCCTCAGGCTAGATACAAACTCTGACGGGGCTGTAGAGAAATGTGAACATCTCTTACAATCAGCAGTAATGCTTGTCTTCATTGTGTGAGCAAGGACATCAAGTTAATTAACTCTTTCAGTCACAGGGGAGTTTAGCATCAGAGGCCCAAGGGGTAGCAAATGAGAGCAGTAAAACTGGGGCATCTTGCACTCACTGGGCTTCTAGGTAGGAACCTGTAATCCAATACTGTGTTCCTGAAGACTGACAGAGTGAAATACTTATGAAGCATCATTTCCAAGGTAACAGTGATGACATAACAACAAACCCTGTTCCTGATCAACTTGTTAAACAGAGTCAAAGTCAAAAACCGTTTTAATGCCACAGGTGCTTCAGGCATATGATGCTACAGTTATATTTGTATAGATCAATCAGCCCTCAATGGGTGTTGTTTAGGCTGGAACAACAAGAACACAGAAATACCATGAAACAATGAGAACACGGAAATACTATGAAACAACAAGAACACAGAAATACCATGAAACAATGAGAACATTGAAATTACCATGAAACAATGAGAACACAGAAATATCATGAAACAATGAGAACATTGAAATTACCATGAAACAATGAGAACACAGAAATATCATGAAACAATGAGAACACAGAAATACCATGAAACAATGAGAACATAGAAATACCATGAAACAATGAGAACACAGAAATACCATGAAACAATGATAACATTGAAATATCATGAAACAATGAGAACATGGAAATACAATGAAACAATGAGAACACAGAAATATCATGAAACAATGAGAACACAGAAATACCATGAAACAATGAGAATACAGAAATACCATAAAACAATGAGAACACAGAAATATCATGAAACAATGAGAACACAGAAATACCATGAAACAATGATAACACAGAAATACCATGAAACAATGAGCACAGAAATTACCATGAAACAATGAGAACACAGTAATACCATGAAACAATGAGAACACAGTAATACCATGAAACAATGAGAACACAGTAATACCATGAAACAATGAGAACACAGAAATTACAGTGAAACAATGAGAACACAGAAATACTATGAAACAATGAGAACACTGTAATACCATGAAACAATGAGAACACAGAAATTACCATGAAACAATGAGAACACAGAAATTACCATGAAACAATGAGAACACAGAAATACTATGAAACAGTAAGAACACGGAAATACAATGAAACAATGAAAACACAGAAATACCATGAAACAATGAAAACATGGAAATACAATGAAACAATGAGAACACAGAAATACCATGAAACAATGAGAACACAGAAATTACCATGAAACAATGAGAACACAGAAATACCATGAAAAAATGAGAACACGGAAATTACCATGAAACAATGAGAACACAGAAATACCATGAAACAATGAGAACACAGAAATTACCATGAAACAATGAGAACACAGTAATACCATGAAACAATGAGAACATGGAAATTACCATGAAACAATGAGAACACAGAAATTACCATGAAACAACGAGAACATGGAAATTACCATGAAACAATGAGAACATAGAAATTACCATGAAACAATGAGAACACAGTAATACCATGAAACAATGAGAACACGGAAATTACCATGAAACACTGAGAACACGGAAATACTATAAAACAACAAGAACATAGAAATACCATGAAACAATGAGAACATTGAAATTACCATGAAACAATGAGAGCACAGGAATTACCATGAAACAATGAGAACACGGAAATTACTATGAAACAATGAGAACACGGAAATTACCATGAAACAATGAGAACACAGTAATACCATGAAACAATGAGAACACAGAAATACCATGAAACAATGAGAACACAGTAATACCATGAAACAATGAGAACACGGAAATTACCATGAAACACTGAGAACACGGAAATACTATGAAACAACAAGAACATAGAAATACCATGAAACAATGAGAACATTGAAATTACCATGAAACAATGAAAACACAGGAATTACCATGAAACAATGAGAACATGGAAATTACTATGAAACAATGAGAACATGGAAATTACCATGAAACAATGAGAACACAGTAATACCATGAAACAATGAGAACACAGAAATACCATGAAACAATGAGAACACAGAAATACCATGAAACAGTAAGAACACAGAAATACCAAGAAACACAGAAATACCATGAAACAACAAGATAACAGAAATACCATGAAACAACAAGAACATAGAAATACAATGAAACAATGAGAACACAGAAATTCTATGAAAACAAAAACACAGAAATACCATGAAACAATGAGAACACAGAATAACCATTAAACAACCAGAGCACAGAAATATTATGAAAAACCCATAGAAATAGCATGAAAGAACAAGCACACAGAAATAACTTAAAATGAAGGCAAACTTACAAGAAGCCCATGGGGGCAGCTCCACATCCCCGACTGGTCTACCATCGTTTCTAAAACCAAAATTGATTATCTGTGGAGGTTTAAAGATATGAGCATTGAATTTATCAGTTAACTGTAGAGCCATTAAAGCATGAACTATAAACACAGCATACATGAAGAAAGGAACACACCATGAATCCAGCAAGTTTACAGATAGTCTAAAGAGGACTCAAATCTACATTATGTATTGAAAAGCTAATTTTCATTGATTAAAATCTACATAACACACAGAGTCAGTGGCTTGGGAGTTGCAATGGTGCCTCGTAATAGCTGAGATATCTGGTTGATTCCAGCTGCGGGTAAATTGGCAGCAGACTACTCTGAATGGCAAACTACTAAATGTAACATTTCCCTGTGTAGGTTCCACAACCCAACGTTGCAGGGAGGAAATAATAGACCCACTGACTCCTAACATGTCCCGAAAGGCAGCTAATTTGAGTTTTGCTGAAATCAGAGGTCTCGGGTTGAAAGGTCACAGTCAGAGGAACAGTTATTATCAGAAGAACTAATTATTCAAATCTACATTTGTGCCTGCAGATAGACACGTACAGACCAGATGCACAAGTACACAGACAGGTAGACAAGTACACAGGTAGACAAGTACACAGACCAGATACACAAGTACCCAAACCAGAGGCACAAGTACACAAGGAGACATGTACACAGACCAGATGCACAAGTACACAGACAGGTAAACACGTACACAGACCAGATACACAAGTACCCAAACCAGAGGCACAAGTACACAGGGAGACATGTACACAGACCAGATGCACAAGTACACAGACAGGTAAACACGTACACAGACCAGATACACAAGTACACATAAAGGTAGACAAGTACACAGGTGTAAAGTACACAGACTAGATAGACAAATACACAGACATGTAGACAAGTTCACAGACCAGATACACAAGTACACAGACATGTAGACAAGTACACAGACAGGTAGACAAGTACACAGACAGGTAGTCAAGTACACAGACCAGATATACAAGTACACAGACCAGATATACAAGTGCACAGACCAGATACACAAGAACACAGAACAGATACACAAGAACACAGACCAGATACACAAGTACACATAAAGGTAGACAAGTACACAGGTGTAAAGTACACAGACTAGATAGACAAATACACAGACATGTAGACAAGTTCACAGACCAGATACACAAGTACACAGACAGGCAGTCAAGTACACAGACAGGTAGTCAAGTACACAGACCAGATACACAAGAACACAGACCAGATATACAAGTACACAGACCAGATATACAAGAACACAGACCAGATATACAAGAACACAGACCAGATACACAAGAACACAGACCAGATATACAAGTGCACAGACCAGATACACAAGAACACAGACCAGATATACAAGAACACAGACCAGATATACAAGTACACAGACCAGATATACAAGAACACAGACCAGATACACAAGAACACAGACCAGATACACAAGAACACAGACCAGATACACAAGTACACATAAAGGTAGACAAGTACACAGGTGTAAAGTACACAGACCAAATACACAAGTACACAGACTAGATAGTCAAGTACACAGACAGGTAGTCAAGTACACAGACCAGATATACAAGTACACAGACCAGATATACAAGTGCACAGACCAGATACACAAGAACACAGACCAGATATACAAGTACACAGACCAGATATACAAGAACACAGACCAGATATACAAGAACACAGACCAGATACACAAGAACACAGACCAGATATACAAGTGCACAGACCAGATACACAAGAACACAGACCAGATATACAAGAACACAGACCAGATATACAAGTACACAGACCAGATATACAAGAACACAGACCAGATACACAAGAACACAGACCAGATACACAAGAACACAGACCAGATACACAAGTACACATAAAGGTAGACAAGTACACAGGTGTAAAGTACACAGACTAGATAGACAAATACACAGACATGTAGACAAGTTCACAGACCAGATACACAAGTACACAGACATGTAGTCAAGTTCACAGACCAGATACACAAGTACACAGACAGGTAGTCAAGTACACAGACAGGTAGTCAAGTACACAGACAGGTAGTCAAGTACACAGACAGGTAGTCAAGTACACAGACAGGTAGTCAAGTACACAGACCAGATATACAAGTGCACAGACCAGATATACAAGTGCACAGACCAGATACACAAGAACACAGACCAGATATACAAGTACACAGACCAGATATACAAGTACACAGACCAGATACACAAGTACATAGACTAGGTAGACAAGTACATGGACAGGTAGACAAGTACACAGACAGGTTGACAAGTACACAGACCAAATACACAAGTAGACAGACCAGATACACATGTACAGACCAGAAACACATGTACACAGACCAAATACACAAGTACACAGACCAGATACACAAGCAGACAGATCAGATAAACATGTACACAGACCAGATACACATGTGCAAAGACCAGATACACAAGTACACAGACTAGATACACAAGTAGACAGACCAGATACACAAGTAGACAGACCAGATACACATGTACACAGACCAGATACACAAGTACATAGACTAGATACACAAGTACATAGACAAGATACACAAGTACACAAACCAGATACACAAGTAAACAGACAGGTAGACCAGTACACAGGTAGACAAGTACACAGACCAGATACACAAGTACACAGACAGGTAGACCAGTACTCAGGTAGACAAGTACACAGATGAGATACACAAGTACCAAGACCAGATACACAAGTACATGCAGAAGTATAAGAAATACTTCACATGGCCTACCCCTCTGTGCAGCAGGAAATCTCCAGAGCCCATGTAAAACTCAGGAATCAGCTCCTTGAAGTCTGAGGCTCCAGTGAGAACATTGCTGAATGTTTCATACAAACTGTAAAATTCCTTACAGTGTTAAATGTTTCACAAAACTTACATTCATTAATCTGTTAAACATTTCATACAAACTGTACGATTCATTAAACTGAAATGTGTTTCAAACAAACTGTAACATTCCTTACCTTGTTAAGTGTTTCACAAAACTGTTACATTTATTAAACTGTGAAACATTACATTCAAACTGTAACATTCATTACACTGTTGAACACATCACATAAAGTTGTGGTTGTTCATCCATTTCTAGACACTGGCTATGTCCAAGTCTACTGATTCCTGGCCTCTCCGACAGATGCACTCCAATTTTGAAGGAACCTCCTAATTAATCAATTCCTAAGACATGCTTGTTAGGGAGGCAGAAGGTCTATTCTTATGCCCCCCCCCCCAACCCCCAATGAGGCCCCAGAACCTATATGGAGGCTCACTAAATACCACAGAGCTGACATGAACTGACTGCATGTTATTGTGACTCTAATCAAGAGAGAAGACAACTGCATGTTATTGTGACTCTAATCAAGAGAGAAGACAACTACATGTAACTGTGACTCTAATCAAGAGAGAAGACAACTACATGTTATTGTGACTCTAATCAAGAGAGAAGACAACTGCATGTTACTGTGACTATAATCAAGAGAGAAGACAACTACATGTTATTGTGACTCTAATCAAGAGAGAAGACACTGCATGTTACTGTGACTCTAATCAAGAGAGAAGACAACTACATGTTATTGTGACTCTAATCAAGAGAGAAGACAACTGCATGTTACTGTGACTATAATCAAGAGAGAAGACAACTGCATGTTACTGTGACTATAATCAAGAGAGAAGACAACTACCTAAGACTGTGACTACAATCAAGAGAGAAGACAACTACATGTTATTGTGACTCTAATCAAGAGAGAAGACAACTGCATGTTACTGTGACTATATATAATCAAGAGAGAAGACAACTACATGTTATTGTGACTCTAATCAAGAGAGAAGACAACTGCATGTTACTGTGACTCTAATCAAGAGAGAAGACAACTACATGTTATTGTGACTCTAATCAAGAGAGAAGACAACTGCATGTTACTGTGACTATAATCAAGAGAGAAGACAACTGCATTTAACAGGCAGGGACAAGGCTCACTTGTTAAACATGCGGTCCGGGTGGTCAAATTTGCCATTCTGCAGACACAAGACATATTCTGGAGCTGAAAGTGGCAATAAACACAATGAACAGAGGGTTACAGTTAGCAGAGATGATACAGTCACAAGTGAGGGGTGATAAAGCCAGAAGTGGGTGTGATACAGCCAGAAGTGGAGGTGATACAGACAGAAGTGGAGGTGATACAGACAGAAGTGGAGGTGATACAGCCAGAAGTGGAGGTGATACAGACAGAAGTGGAGGTGATACAGCAAGGTGTAGAGGTGATACAGCAAGAAGTGGGTGTGATACAGCAAGAAGTGGAAGTGATACAGGCAGAAGTGGAGGTGATACAGCAAGAAGTGGAGGTGATACAGCAAGAAGTGGATGTGATACAGCAAGAAGTGGAGGTGATACAGCAAGAAGTGGAGGTGATACAGCCAGAAGTGGAAGTGATACAGCAAGAAGTGGAGGTGATACAGGCAGAAGTGGAGGTGATACAGCCAGAAGTGGGTGTGATACAGCAAGAAGTGGAGGTGATACAGGCAGAAGTGGAGGTGATACAGCCAGAAGTGGAGGTGATACAGCAAGGCGTGGAGGTGGTGCAGCCAGAAGTGGAAGTGATACAGCAAGAAGTGGAGGTGGTGCAGCCAGAAGTGGAGGTAATACAGCAAGAAGTGGAGGAGATACAGCAAGATGTTGAGGTGATACAACAAGAAGTGGAGGTGATACAGCAAGAAGTGGAGGTGATACAGCAAGAATTGGAACTGATTCAGCCAGAAGTGGAGGTGACGCAGCAAGAATTGGAACTGATACAGCCAGAAGAGGAGGTGATACAGCAAGAAGTGGAGGTGATACAGCAAGAAGTGGAGGTGATACAGCAAGGCGTGGAGGTCATAAAGCAAGAAGTGTAGGTGATCCAGCAAGAAGTGGAGGTGATACAGCAAGAAGTGGGTGTAATACAGCAAGAAGTGGGTGTGATACAGCAAGACGTGGAGGTGATACAGCAAGAAGTGGAGGTGATACAGCCAGAAGTGGAGGTGATGCAGCCAGAAGTGGAGGTGATACAGCCAGAAGTGGAGGTGATACAGCAAGTAGTGGAGGTGATGCAGTCAGAAGTGGAGGTGATACAGCAAGAAGTGGGTGTGATACAGCAAGAGGTGGGTGTGATACAGCAAGAAGTGGAGGTGATACAGCAAGAAGTGGAGGTGATACAGCAAGAAGTGGAGGTGAAACAGCAAGAAGTGGAGGTGATACAGCCAGAAGTGGAGGTGATACAGCCAGAAGTGGAGGTGATACAGCAAGAAGTGGAGGTGATACAGCCAGAAGTGGGGGTGATACAGCAAGGTGTATAGGTGATACATCAAGAAGTGGGTGTGATACAGCAAGAAGTGGAGGTGATACAGCAAGAAGTGGGGGTGATACAGCAAGAAGTGGAGGTGATACAGCAAGAAGTGGGGGTGATAAAGCACAATGATTCATGGTGTCATTACACTGATTCATGGTGTCATCATGGTGATTCATGGTGTCATTACCCTGATTCATGGTGATATGGTGATTCATGGTGACATCATGGTGATTCATAGTGACATCATGGTGATTCATGGTGACATCACACAGATCCAGGGTGTCATCACATTGATTCATGGTGTCATTACACCGACTCATGGTGACATAATGGTGATTCATGGTAAATTCATGGTGATTTGTGGTACCATTCCAGTTATTCATGATGACATCACATTAATTCATGGTGACATAATGGTGATATATGGTGACATCATGGTGATTCATGGTGACATCATGCTTATTCATGGTCACATCATGCTGATGCATGGTGATTTGTGGTGCCATCAGTGATTCATGGTGACATCACATTAATTCTTGGTGTCATTATACTGACTCATAGTGACATAATGGTGATTCATGGTGACAATACACTGAATCATGGTGACATAATGGTGATTCATGGTGACATCATGCTGATTCATGGTCACATCATGTGGATCCATGGTGAATTCATGGTGATTTGTGGTGCCATCACAGTGGTTCATGGTGACATCATACTGATTCATGGTGTCATTACACTGACTCATGGTGACATAATGGTGATTCATGGTCACATCATGTGGATCCATGGTGAATTCATGGTGATTTGTGGTGCCATCACAGTGGTTCATGGTGACATCATACTGATTCATGGTGTCATTACACTGACTCATGGTGACATAATGGTGATTCATGATGTCATTGTGCTGATTCATCGTATCATCACACTGATTCATGGTGACATCAGGGTAACAACATGGTGATTCATTGTTATATCATGCTGATTCATGGTGACATCATGCTGATTCATAGTGACATCCTGGTGACATCATGGTGACTCATTGTGATATCATGCTGATTCATGGTGACATCACACTGATTCATGGTGATCAGCAGAGGCAGGTCTCTAAGGGCCAGCCCATCACTAAAATGATCTAGTTGCTTTGCTCACACTCTGAAGACTGTGGGTTTATTTCTATGTTACATCATTCAGTTCAAAGTGCAGTTTTTAGCAAATCCTCCTCAGGAGTCATTGCTGGAGTTTGAGTTTGTACCTCTGTGTGGCAGGGAGTCAGTCAGCCACACTGTGAGGAGAGACTTGCATCTCTGTGCGACAACAGTCAGCCACACTGTAGGAAGAGAGGCCTGTATCTCTGTGTGGCAGCAAGTCAGCCAAACTGTAGGAAGAGAGACCTGTATCTCTGTGCAGCAACAGTCAGCCAATCTGTAGGAAGAGAGACCTGTATCTCTGTGTGGCAGCAAGTCAGCCAAACTGTAGGAAGAGAGACCTGTATCTCTGTGCGACAACAGTCAGCCACACTGTAGGAAGAGAGACCTGTATCTCTGTGCGACAACAGTCAGCCACACTGTAGGAAGAGAGACCTGTATCTCTGTGTGGCAGCAAGTCAGCTAAACTGTAGGAAGAGAGACCTGTATCTCTGTGCAGCAACATCAGCCAAACTGGAGGGAGACTAAGCTGCATGGGATCAAACCTAGTGCAATGAAGTCAATCCCCTGAATCACCCTGTCCAATTCTGAGAAACATGGAGGCTTCACTAGCATGGCATGATACAGGCATCTCTTGGGAAACAAAGACTGGGCCTCAAACAGGCAACACAGAAACCCACTAGCTATCAGAACGTAACAGTCTCTATTCAGTCATGACATGCCACGTTGTGCAGAGGAACCACTCAATAAGTCAGAAATAGGCGTAACAATATTTTAAATAACATAAATTTAACTAAAACAAAATGATATACTGTACCTATTCTTGCAAGGTAAAAGAGGACATAGCCTGGAGTGGAATAATGAGATCCGTACAAAAACTTGGGCTCTGGAAGGTCAGGTAGTCGCTCCTGTACAGTGGATGGAAATCATTGACTCGGTGGTCTCAAATGGTGGTGGTTTAAATGTGACATAATGATGATTGAAAGTTTCTCACTGAAAGCATCATCTTGTTACTGCTAAGTCAGCACAGTTTGTCTGTCAATAGTCTGTCTTTGTCTGCTACTCTGTTTTCCCTCAGAATATATACATGTATATAAACTGTTACATGGTTGGAGTGAACCCTGATTAACATTCAAACATCTGATTCAAGTGTTGGAACTTTGCCTGCATTATGTTTAATGCTGGCTTTTTAAAAAATTTTCACAAACTAGTTGTTTTTTTTTTTTTTAAATTCAGACATTGGTGTCTCATAAACTAACTTGTGCAATGTATTCACTGATTCCTGTTTGTTTACAGAATAAACTATCAAAGCTGGTGGCTACATGAAGGGAAGAAACAAGGTAGGTGAGCACAAGAAGAGAGTAGACACAGATGACAATAGGAGCATTTGTTCTAGACTTGGAACATCTTATAGTGGTCAGGATGTTTACAGAATAAACTATCAAAGCTGGTGGCTACATGAAGGGAAGAAACAAGGTAGGTGAGCACAAGAAGAGAGTAGACACAGATGACAATAGGAGCATTTGTTCTAGACTTGGAACATCTTATAGTGGTCAGGATGTTTACAGAATAAACTATCAAAGCTGGTGGCTACATGAAGGGAAGAAACAAGGTAGGTGAGCACAAGAAGAGAGTAGACACAGATGACAATAGGAGCATTTGTTCTAGACTTGGAACATCTTAGTGGTCAGGATGTTTACAGAATAAACTATCAAAGCTGGTGGCTACATGAAGGGAAGAAACAAGGTAGGTGAGCACAAGAAGAGAGCAGACACAGATGACAATAGGAGCATTTGTTCTAGGCTTGGAACATCTACCAGTGGTCAGGACAACCAATGCCAACAACTCTTACCTTGATTCTGGCCAGTCTGTCAGGGTTCAAGGCACCAATGGGTTTACTGAGATCCCTGTACACGGATTCATCTTGCAGGTCTGGAGGTCACAAAGCAGAAGTCAAATAATATAACAACAGCAGCACATACAGTCAGCAAATTTCTGGTATTAACACGGATGGCAAAAGCTTTTTCACGGTCCATGAATCCAATGTAAAGTGGTGAATTCAATTCAATGCTTTGCTCTGTTTTATACGTAAGGTGGCTATCTTGTCAGTACAGGATCTGTTTGGTCAAAAACCTGCCTGTTTATCTCTTAGCTTTTTATCATTAGCATCTTTTAGTGTTTCTACAAAAATTATACTTACAATTTTTCCATGAACTGACAGCAATATAATTACTCTATAGTTTTCACTCCTGTAGATCACCTTTTTTGGGCAGTTTCACAAGATATCATTCTCTCTGTCTGCTGGTATTTCTTTGGTCTCCCAGACTCTACTAAATAATCTATGTAGCAATTCTGCTGATGTGTTTAGATTGGCCTTAATAGCTTTGCTGGGATACCATCTGGACCTGCCACCTTTCCCTTCTTCAGAAGATTGATAGCGTTTATTATTTCCTCTTTAGATGGCATCTCACAATTGATATCCAGTTCCATTTCTAGAGGCTGGATATCTGGAGGAGCCTCTGGGGTTGGTCTATTTAAAAGTATTCCAAAATATTCAGCCTATTCATTCTATTGTTAGTGACTATTTGACCAGTTTTGATTGATCCAGTTGGCTGACAATATTTACCTACTAATTTCCTTGTGTTACTGTAAATGTCTCTAAGGTTTCCTTTTGCTGCTGCTGTCTCCACTTCTTGTGCTAGGTAGTCTAAATATTTTCTGTTATCTGCCCTTATTCCTAACTTCCTTATTAGCTTCGGTGTATTTTTCCTGAGCTCCTGTTGTTTAAATCTGCCTTTTAACTTTTCCTTTCTTCAATCAATTTAATGGTTTCTAGTGTTGTCCACACTTTATGTTTCCGTTCTTTCTTACCAAGGACACAAGATACATTCCAGATTCCCTTGATTTGATGCCAGTAGACTTCAGTGCTTACCTCCTCAGTTAACTGCTGCAAAATCAGGAACTTATTAGAGACTGTAACTGTAACTGAAAATTATTCCTTAACTGCTTTATCCCTGAGATAACCTACATTATACTGGTATCTATGATTATAAGATGTTATATATCTTTTAATTTTCAAATTGATTTCACTTACCAACAGAAAATTATCAGTAAATACATCGGCACCTCTAAAGGGGTGATCTAAACTTTTTGTTAATACATATGTGATCTATTTGTTTGGGACTGTCTTACGGTCGGGTAATACCCATGTAGCCGTGTGTATACTCTTATGTGGGAAGATGCTTCCTCCAATAACTTTCTGATTTCCTGCACAAAAATTGGTAAATTATTCTCCATTTTCATTCTTTACTCCTAGTCCATGTTTTCATATAATCTCTTCATAACCTGTGTTGTCTGATCTTATCTTGACATTCAGGTCACCCATCAAAATTTTTATATTGCCATTTCTTTTATTATTTATAATATTTTGAGGTTGCATGTAAAATTCTTCTTTAACTCTTTGAGTCCCAGGGGGTTTAGCATCACAGGCCCAAGGGGTAGTCAAGAGAGACGTAAAATCGGCGCATCATGCGTTTATTGGGCCTCTAGGTAGGAATCTATGAACGTATGATGCGTTCCTTGGGGCTCAAAGAGTTAACTGGTGCATCCTTATCATTTGTTGATGCATAACACTATTACCGACATGTTCATCTTCTGTTTGGCTGTTCTAAATGATGCTCTTATTATTTTAGGACAAAGCTTTCAATTCTATCAGTATCCTATCTGCTTCTTTTGATAGCATCAGGGCCACTCCTTTACTGTGGGGAGAATTTTCCTCTGTATGTCCTAAGAACAAAATGGTTTCCCCTGAATATAGAAGATTTTTCCCTGGCCCATCCCATCTAGCTTCACATAATCCTAAAATACTAATCCTATAATATTTCATTTCCCTTGATACTTCCGTTGTTCTTCCTACATCATACAAGTTCTTATATTCTAGGTGTTAATTCTGGAGGTTTTCCTAGGTGAAAGGAAGTATGTAGACGATCTGGACTCCTTTCGGCTTTCTCCACACCGTGTTAGACTTTTTCTACTCGAAGAGCCTCCCCTTATCTTGGTTGGCTAGGTTTTTCTTGTTTACTTTTTGACTTATCCATGGCAGGATGGTTTTTGTGGCTAGTATTTTCCACAGGATGATGTAGTCAACCTCCAGCCCAAGCCTACCCTTAGTTGCCTCTGACCTGGTATGGTGCAGTGTTACTATTCTTGGCTTCCTGTGGGGGCCCAGGGGACACATGTGAGTCATCATTATTACATTTATTAGATACAAGATGACCAGCGAGACATTGAAACAGTTCTAACTACACTGGCAACAGCAACTATTCATCAACATATGCAAGCTGCAGGAAGCCATATTAGTGCAATGACATGACATTGCAAAATAATACTATCAATAGCTTTGAGAGGAATTCATTATTCAAGACAATACAGCTTGAGTGGCAGTGAACAAACACTGAGAGTGTGCTTGAAACAGCCCACTGATAGGTCAAACATGTACATGGAGAAACCTTGTTACACATGCTGCCTCTTTTTTAGAGATCCAACAAGAATCAAGCCGCAAATCAAACATTTATAGCTACAGCGTATGAGAAGAAATTCTTACCTAGCTGAGAACTTGTATAGTCTTGGATAATCCAAGGCATGACCGGATACTGGGACAGGTCGTTGAAGCTGCGATCGGCGAGGCTACAATAGATGGAAGGTAGACAGATCTATGGCAGCAAGCATGCACACCAGACATACACTGAGGATAATGGGACAAGAATGGTGCCATACATACAGTGGCACGCATATACACATACAATGGACACTGGGACACAGCAGATGGACTAGGAGACAGAAACAAATATCACATACTATCCATCTAGATCCATGCACCTTGGGTTGGTTTCGACAGAGGTATCAAGAAAGCCGACCGTCCAGAAAGCAATAGCAAACTACTAGACGTAAATTTACCTAGAAAAACCACACAACAGCCAGGGGCAGTTAGGGTTGGTTCTGCAACGTCCTGTAAAGGATACGCAACTAACTAATCGGTCTAGATTACAGGTTAACAGCTCTACATAATATGTGTGAGTGTTAAACAGCAGACAGTACAGCGGAGCATCAGCACTCATTATCTGCACAAGCGTCTGGTAAATCAAGACGTGAAAGGGTCCAGTGAGAACATTGTATGCTGGCTCATTTTTAGCATGAAATTCTGATGAGCTGCGGCCAGATGTTAATACTTATTCACCCTGTTGTGTGTTTGTCATGACTGAACTCAGTTTGTCACTGAGACCCACAGACAGAGACCTGCAGACTTCTGAGTGCTGGATCTCAGCATGAAATTAGGTCACATTATTTCATAATTAAAAGACTGAAGTGTTGGATATTAATAAATAGATGTCTCTAGCAGTGACTGCAGTTACTGATAATCTTAACTGTTAGTGTATGAGAGCTTTTGGCAAGTATGGCCACAGTGCCTTGGGGCTCACTTAGCAGGAACTGTGCTCAGAAAACAAGGCATCAAATATTCCTGTCTGCCAGTGATATGTGCAAGATTAATGAAGCCATTGAAATGATAAACACACAGACTGAGAATACTGCCTATAACTGACATTGGCACAGATGACAGACTGTCAGCTTCACTGTGCCACACACTGTAGGAGACTAAACAGCAGATTATCATGAGTTTCTAGTGTCTGGCACGAGCCGGTGGCATACACCTTTGTGTGCTGATTGTGTGCAATAAGTTCAACATCAAAGTCAGCTGCTCAATGTGTTCTACCATGTCATACTACAGAGATGGCAATGATCACCAGCCATTATCCAAGCTTAATTAACTCATTCAGTATCAAGCAACCCCACATGGCTACATTGGTCTCTACATTGGTCTCTACATGGGTCTCTACATTGGTCTCTACATTAGTCTCTACATTGGTCTCTACATTACTGAACGGAGCTGAACTTTTTTCAAACATGTCACTGGCTTCCAGGTCAACCCAGCCTCGAATGGGTACCAGGTAAAGTCCTAGGAAGTAAAGGAGGTCGGCATGATGTGCCCCATAAGTCTAATACGCCTGAAAGTGTGGATAGTGAGTTACTTTTACTCTACCTTTACTTACATACATAATTACCTGTTTGAAATTAGCCCATGCTCCACTGCATTTTGTTACACCAACTGACTCTCCTTCTATTGTGACTTTAACCTCTTCAATCTCATAGAATGTGTATTGTCCTTTCTACACACTAACACATCTTTTATGGGGAAAGTAAGATCTTCTCATGACATAATTAGTTTCAGTAACATGTCAAGGGCTGAAAGAGTGAAGTCAAGTAGTTTGATACTCCAAGACCTGGTGGGGATCACAGGACATGGAGGCTACTACACCAGATGGGTCAGACTAACAAGTTGCAATACATATGACACACATACTGGACAACAGGACAGTTCAGCTAGACAAAAGCATCACATATAAAGTCAATACTGGGTCAGGCCAGTGTAACTGGGGGAAAAAAAGTAGCAATACTCATGACACATAAACTGGACGTTATAAGAGATCATTTGGATTAATAAACATAAAATGACAAATCAAATACATTTGACAGCAAAACAAGTCAGTCAGATGAGTGCAGACATATGTACCTGTTCAAGTAGGGGAGGTCAGTCAGATGGGTGCAGACATATGTACCTGTTCAAGTACAGGAGGTCAGTCAGATGAGTGCAGACATTTGTACCTGTTCAAGTAGGGGAGGTCAGTCAGATGAGTGCAGACATATGTACCTGTTCAAGTAGGGGAGGTCAGTCAGATGAGTGCAGACATATGTACCTGTTCAAGTAGGGGAGGTCAGTCAGATGAGTGCAGACATATGTACTTGTTCAAGTAGGGGAGGTCAGTCAGATGAGTGCAGACATATGTACCTGTTCAAGTAGGGGAGGTCAGTCAGATGAGTGCAGACATATGTACCTGTTCAAGTAGGGGAGGTCAGACAGATGAGTGCAGACATATGTACCTGTTCAAGTAGGGGAGGTCAGTCAGATGAGTGCAGACATATGTAACTGTTCAAGTAGGGGAGGTCAGTCAGATGAGTGCAGACATATGTACCTGTTCAAGTAGGGGAGGTCAGTCAGATGAGTGCAGACATATGTACCTGTTCAAGTAGGGGAGGTCAGTCAGATGAGTGCAGACATATGTACCTGTTCAAGTACAGGAGGTCAGTCAGATGAGTGCAGACATATGTACCTGTTCAAGTACAGGAGGTCAGTCAGATGAGTGCAAACATATGTACCTGTTCAAGTAGGGAAGGTCAGTCAGATGAGTGCAGACATATGTACCTGTTCAAGTAGGGGAGGTCAGTCAGATGAGTGCAGACATATGTACCTGTTCAAGTAGGGGAGGTCAGTCAGATGAGTGCAGACATATGTACCTGTTCAAGTACAGGAGGTCAGTCAGATGAGTGCAGACATATGTACCTGTTCAAGTAGGGGAGGTCAGTCAGATGAGTGCAGACATATGTACCTGTTCAAGTAGGGGAGGTCAGTCAGATGAGTGCAGACATGTGTACCTGTTCAAGTAGGGGAGGTCAGTCAGATGAGTCCAGACATATGTACCTGTTCAAGTAGGGGAGGTCAGTCAGATGAGTGCAGACATATGTACCTGTTCAAGTAGGGGAGGTCAGTCAGATGAGTGCAGACATATGTACCTGTTCAAGTAGGGGAGGTCAGTCAGATGAGTGCAGACATATGTACCTGTTCAAGTAGGGGAGGTCAGTCAGATGAGTGCAGACATGTGTACCTGTTCAAGTAGGGGAGGTCAGTCAGATGAGTGCAGACATATGTACCTGTTCAAGTAGGGGAGGTCAGTCAGATGAGTGCAGACATATGTACCTGTTCAAGTAGGGGAGGTCAGTCAGATGAGTGCAGACATATGTACCTGTTCAAGTACAGGAGGTCAGTCAGATGAGTGCAGACATATGTACCTGTTCAAGTAGAGGAGGTCAGTCAGATGAGTGCAGACATGTGTACCTGATCAAGTAGGGGAGGTCAGTCAGATGAGTGCAGACATATGTACCTGTTCAAGTAGGGGAGGTCAGGCAGATGAATGCAGACATATGTACCTGTTCAAGTAGGGGAGGTCAGACAGATGAGTGCAGACATATGTACCTGTTCAAGTAGGGGAGGTCAGTCAGATGAGTGCAGACATATGTACCTGTTCAAGTAGGGGAGGTCAGGCAGATGAGTGCAGACATATGTACCTGTTCAAGTAGGGGAGGTCAGGCAGATGAGTGCAGACATATGTACCTGTTCAAGTAGGGGAGGTCAGTCAGATGAGTGCAGACATATGTACCTGTTCAAGTAGGGGAGGTCAGGCAGATGAGTGCAGACATGTGTACCTGTTCAAGTAGGGGAGGTCAGACAGATGAGTGCAGACATATGTACCTGTTCAAGTAGGGGAGGTCAGTCAGATGAGTGCAGACATATGTACCTGTTCAAGTAGGGGAGGTCAGACAGATGAGTGCAGACATATGTACCTGTTCAAGTGGGGGAGGTCAGACAGATGAGTGCAGACATATGTACCTGTTCAAGTAGGGGAGGTCAGACAGATGAGTGCAGACATATCTACCTGTTCAAGTACAGCAGGTAATCACAGTTGGAAATAACCCCACTCTGCCACTTCAGGGTCATATCTTCTTGGTTGGCTTCTTCCAAATTTAAACCTGGACAATGAAGACATGTTCAACTATATCTTAAAGTTCTCTGTTCGATGATCCTTCAAAACAACTTTTTCATCCTGTGTACGTGTGTGCATGTGCATGCAGGCATGTATGTTAGTGTTTGTAGAATGTCTTTAGAACAGATTATGTGTAATTTGCTCTTCCCATGTGAATCCCAAATAGCTCATAATACTTTTTGTTTTTTTTCACTGTCCGAGCACAGCAGAGAAGTCTGGTATGCCTAGAGGTCGTGTGCATGTATGTTTTGTAAAAGGTGTTATCTTCTTCTACTTCTGCATTCCCTTTAACTGGGAAGTTAGAAAATGATGTTGTGATATTTAGCTAAGCCTGTTCATCTGGTTTACACAAGCTATAAACTCTGGTGAAAAGTTCTGACTGTGCCCTTGTCTGGACTTTACTCTTGCTCCAGAACTTGAGTTTTGCATGCACATCCATTTGATAGATCTGCTTATCTGTATGCAGACTGTTGGTTCCTCAGCTCTGAGACACATAGACAATGAGTTGGAAGCAAATAATTAATTAGATGACTTTTTTGACATGACTGTTAGGAGAGCAATGCCCCCCCCCCCCCCCATTCACATTGGGGCCCCAGAACTCACACAACATAACCTACCTTTCCTCCCAACATATATCATTTTAGCAAACCCCTAATTAGTCGTATTTCACAACATATTTGTTGGGGCAGGCAAGGGGGAGGGGCTATCTCTTCTCCCCCATCCCCAATGGGGCCTCAGAACCAAAACAGGAAGTACAAGGTGTTTAAAACGCATCTTGTCTGGAGATATCATGTGAATTGAGTGAATCACTTCAGTACCCTAGTGATTCTGTGTGGTTCAATGGTTGACTGGCCTGGTCACTCAAGAATGTGTTGCTATTTGATCATCTACAGATGCTTTACCTGGCAGGTTTAGAATTTCCTCGTACACTTGGTTGCGAGTCTCCACTGTATGAAAGGCAATGTACAAGTGGGACACTGGTGCACAGTCTCCACAGTAAATCTCCAGGCCCTTCATGGGGACACAAAATATTATTGTTCTTAAGAAGTTTATAACAGACAAAAATGTAATTCTTACGTTAACAAGGTTAATCATCATTATTATCGTGATAAACCATTTGTGATGGAGAACATGCTGGCTGGCACTGGCTGTTGTTATGCCATGAAACTGTAAAGTGTCTTTAATGTTGTCAATCCATATTTTTGTGGCTGTCCTCTTGCTCTTGTAGCTGACCTTCTGAAATATAGTGGATGTGGTGGTTTAAGATCTTGCTGCATTCTAAAGAGATGACCAGACCACTTGATCTACTCTTTCTCGGTGAATCTCAAACAAGGTATAGTTTTCACAATCATTCTGACAGTATCCTCATTCATTCATCTTCAGATTATTAGGTCGACAGTTTTTCTCAGGCATCTCGTTATGCAGGTGGTGGGTGAGTGCGTAGACAGGCTTTAGAAAATGTCTATGTTTGGCACTGGTAGCTTAATGCTGTATGAATATGCTGCTTACAACCCACCAACGCCCCCCCCAATCACCCACTTTTAGCATTAATAGTTTGCATATCATAATACTGGTGAATAAGAGCACTTATTTCTGACACCTGTTTCTATTTCTCCTTAACAAGGTTAATCCCAGACAGAAGTTATTATTCTCAGTTAGCAACGTACCAGACATTTAATTACTCTGAACAATGTAAACACAATATTTGGTCTCTAGCATTAGCACTAGCGCTACCCTCTGATGTATTTCGTCACTAGCATTAGCACTAACCTCTGATGTATTTGGTCATTAGCATTAGAACTAACCTCTGATGTATTTGGTCATTAGCATTAGAACTAACCTCTGATGTATTTGGTCACTAGCATTAGCACTAGCCCTACCATCTGATGTATTTGGTCACTAGCATTAGAACTAACCTCTGATGTATTTGGTCATTAGCATTAGAACTAACCTCTGATGTATTTGGTCATTAGCACTAGCCCTACCATCTGATGTATTTGGTCACTAGCATTAGAACTAACCTCTGATGTATTTGGCCATTAGCACTAGCCCTACCATCTGATGTATTTGGTCACTAGCACTAGAACTAACCTCTGATGTATTTGGTCATTAGCATTAGAACTAACCTCTGATGTATTTGGTCACTAGCATTAGAACTAACCTCTGATGTATTTGGTCATTAGCATTAGAACTAACCTCTGATGTATTTGGTCATTAGCATTAGAACTAACCTCGGATGTATTTGGTCATTAGCATTAGCACTAGCCCTACCATCTGATGTATTTGGTCATTAGCATTAGCACTAGCCCTACCATCTGATGTATTTGGTCACTAGCATTAGCACTAACCTCTGATGTGTTTGGTCATTAGCACTAGTACTAACCTCTGATGTATTTGGTCATTAGCATTAGCACTAACCTCTGATGTATTTGGTCATTAGCATTAGAACTAACCTCTGATGTATTTGGTCATTAGCACTAGTACTAACCTCTGATGTATTTGGTCATTAGCATTAGCACTAACCTCTGATGTATTTGGTCATTAGCATTAGCACTAACCTCTGATGTATTTGGTCATTAGCACTAGTACTAACCTCTGATGTATTTGGTCATTAGCACTAGCCCTACCATCTGATGTATTTGGTCACTAGCATTAGAACTAACCTCTGATGTATTTGGTCAGTAGCATTAGTACTAACCTCTGATGTATTTGGTCATTAGCACTAGCCCTACCACCTGATGTAATTGGTCATTAGCATTAGAACTAACCTCTGATGTATTTGGTCATTAGCACTAGCCCTACCATCTGATGTAATTGGTCATTAGCATTAGAACTAACCTCTGATGTATTTGGTCATTAGCATTAGCCTATCGCTAGCCTCTGATGAATTTGGTCCCTAACATAAGCACTAGCGCTAACCTCTGATATTTCAATCTGCCCTCTTTCACTACAGTCACAAATTTGATGTGGAACTTACCAGCTGTCGCAGGAGAAAGCGACGACATATCAGTCTCCTGATGTCCTTGATGCGTAATTTCAACACTGGCCACTGAAATAGAAACCATAACAAATAGCCTTACAACTGTCCTACAAAAGGGTACACATTTAACAAGATGTGCGTAAGTGCGTAAGTGTGTACTGTCACTGAGTGTAATACTGTGTCATGTAAGCTCCTGAACTCAATGTGGCTGCCTTTTTGTGTGTGACATTTTACACCAACAGTGTTGCAACACAATGCCATTGAACCCTAACAGTGTTGCAACACACTGCCATTTAACCCCAACAGTGTTGCAACACACTGCCATTTAACCCCAACAGTGTTGCAACACACTGCCATTAAACCCCAACAGTGTTGCAACACACTGCCATTTAACCCCAACAGTGTTGCAACACATTGCCATTGAACCCTAACAGTGTTGCAACACATTGCCATTTAACCCCAACAGTGTTGCAACACATTGCCATTTAACCCCAACAGTGTTGCAACACATTGCCATTTAACCCCAACAGTGTTGCAACACATTGCCATTAAACCCCAACAGTGTTGCAACACACTGCCATTAAACCCCAACAGTGTTGTAACACACTGACATTTAACCCCAACATTAGTGCACAAAGTTGTCATTTAACCCCAACAGTGTTGCAACACATTACCATTTAACCCTAATAATGTTGCAACACACTGCCATTTAACCCTAACAGTGATGCATAAAATTATCATTTAACCCCAACTGTGTTGCAAAAAAGTTGCATTTAACTACACAATGGAACTGAGCTTGTTGATATTACTGAAAGGCTGAAACTACACAATGGAACTGAGCTTGTTGATGTTATTGAAAGGCTGAAACTACACAATGGAACTGAGCTTGTTGATGTTATTGAAAGGCTGAAACTACACAATGGAACTGAGCTTGTTGATGTTATTGAAAGGCTGAAACTACACAATGGAACTGAGCTTGTTGATGTTATTGAAAGGCTGAAACTACACAATGGAACTGAGCTTGTCGATGTTATTGAAAGGCTGAAACTACACAATGGAACTGAGCTTGTCGATGTTACTGAAAGGCTGAAACTACACAATGGAATGACCTTGTCGATGTTACTACAAGTTGAAACTACACAATGGAACTGACCTTGTCGATGTTGCTACAAGTTGAAACAACACAATGGAACTGACCTTGTCAATATTACTGAAAGGCTGAAACAACACAATGGAACTGACCTTGTCAATGTTACTGAAAGGCTGGAAGTAGAGTCTGCTGGAGGTGAGCATGACCCGACCGGGGTTGGTGACCAGAGGTGTGATGCGGTCTCCCCGAACTTCCAGAATGATCTTCTCATAGATGTCCTCTAACCTGCAACAAACACTGGGAAGTAAAGTGCCAGTGGCACATCAGGCATTGAGCCTGGACTCATATTTGTATAGAACAGTCAGTGCTCCATGGTTGATGTGCTCAACATCACACAGACAGCAGCCTGTCAACCTCTCCACAAGGACTGTGATAAACATTCTGTGTGTTTTTCGTGGGCACAGGAGGTTAGCACAACTATGCCCGCTTGCTTTGAAGCTGAAACTAAGATTACCAGATTACGTGGTACCCATTAAAGGCTGGGTCGGCCTGGAAGCCAAGGTCATATGTGGAAAGATATGGCTCCATGTGGATTTGAACTCATGAGCTTCAGATCCGCAGGCAAGCATCTAGCCGCTACACCACAGCGGCTCCCACAAATACAGGTATTCGATTCTGTATGCTATACCTGCTGCACTCCTTATCAAAAGTCTAGACTAGAGCTGACCGTAGCAGGACATTTGATGATAAAACATGACCTCACTGCAGAACTGTTGGGTTATTCTTCTGCCTGACTTCCCCAGTGGAGCAATGGTTCTCAAACAACACACACTCAGACCTGTGTAGGCTCATTTTTGATTGGTTGGATTTTTCTGTTAAGTCTTTCAAGGGATGAGGTAGCCAGTTTCACACCAACCCTCCTTAGATGCCTCCTACTGCATGCATGGAAGGTTACAGTGTAGCTGTTGTTTGAAAAAAAAAAAAAAACTCCAAAAGAGACAGAATGGTATCAAAGTGCATAGGAAATATGATAAATGTGGTATCATGCACTAAACTTCATTGAGAACTGAGAGATACATTTGTGTGGACATCTTCCGAGAATGAACCTAATCAACTACCAATAGGGGTCAATAGGTCAGTGACTGCATTCAAGCTGATGACAACAAGTCCTAGAATATTACTAACCATTTCTCTACAGAGACAATTATATTGTTATAATTTTTATATGTCTGCCCCGTAGGCTGCTGAGGACGTATCTCTTTGTTTTCGGTGCCCTTCCTGCTAGGAACGTAAAAACACAATTTTGACTTTCCACATGGAACTGCTCAGGACCATAAATCTCAGGGCTGAAATGGCAATATACAATACCTAAATCTGGTCTAAATGACCCATTTAAATACAATTAAAACCCTTATCATGAGTGTTTAGATGTGTTCCACATTATACTGTTGCTTTGTTTACCATATAAGCATGGTTGGTGAGTGGTATATATTTTTCCCAACATGCATTTCTGGTTTGTGTTACTCTACTTTTTTTTGGGGGGGAAATACAAAATAGCAAGAAAATTGGTTAATTAAGTAGATGAAGAATTAATGGAGCTTCTTTTAAGAAGTAAGGACTACTTTGAAATGTGTAAGTTATGAGTTGGGGTAACTTCACAGCATGATAGCGGTCATGTGTTCTTCTAGCCGTGAGCAAGACCATCCAATCCAGCCATCAACATCGACTGAATTCAAAACGGATCTCCAATGTCAAGAAGAGGCTCTATGGTCAAATACTGACATAATGTTTGCAATTAATGTTTCCTCTGTTTTAAACAACAGACAAAATGAGATGAGTTGAGTTTAGTCAAGAATTGACATCACAGCACTCGGGCATTCCCATGCATGCTTCGTCCTCATCTTCAGCAGCCAGCACAAAGTTCCAATACTGATGGTACCGGTCACAATCTGGTACAACAGATTTGAATGTGTCTGTCTATCACATTGTACAATACTTGTCTTACTCTTAATTCTCATTTTCATTTAAAATTCTAGTCTAGTTGGTTTCACACCTGCCTTACAATCAAAAGATCTTGCATTCAACCCCTTCCAGACTTTTTTTTAAATGTAAATTTTAAACTGCAGCTCCTAGTGCTTTCGGCAATGGATCACCCAAGTAATAGTTATTCAGCACAGGGGAAAGGTTCAGCGGCAAGCTTGCTTAGCACAGTGGTAACGTTGGTTGAGGAGTATGTAGCAGCGAAGGGCTAAAAAGCTCAGCGGAGAGTGTGGCACAAATATAACCAAACATTTTGACCAAAGTCTTTATCAACGGAGTACTAAAAGAAGGGCTAAATTGCAAAAGGAAATAAGTCAGAAGGAGTTTGAAAAAAAAAGAGGGAGTGACTAAAAAAAAAAAAAAAAAAATTAAATAAATTAACAAATTAACAAAGTTAAATACAGCTGCATCATTAAGATAAGATAGGAGTTAAAAATAAAACAAGATCAGAATACTGTCAGAAAATCATGGAGAAAAGTATGGATAAATAACAAGAGCAAAACTAAACATGCATAGATAGACACAACCAAGGCATCAAGTGGAGTCAGATTTCTGCTTAATGATTTCCATAAATCTACTAAAGAACCAAACATCCACTGAACTGTCCAGTGCCAGCTGACAGAAGTTGATTCAAACAAAAACTGAAACCAAAGAGGGGACAACATACAGACTTACCAGCTGGTGTTAAACTTGACTCTTGACTGCCTGGACAACATGATAGCATTCAGCTGCAATATATAGTTACAGTCAATCACAGACAGTTACAGTCAATCAGAAATAGCACAATCAATCACAGATAAGTAATTTTACTTTACAGATAATTACAGTCAATCAGAGACAGTTGAAAGATAGTTGTAGTCAGTCAACCAGACCGTTACCATCAATCATATATAGGTTAGAGATAGTTAGAGTCAGTCATAGATAGTTACAGTCAGTAAGAGACAGTCAGAGATAGTTACAGTGAATCAGAGCTAGTTACAATTGGAGATCGTCAGTCAATCAGAATTAGTTACAGTCAGTCAGAGATAGTTACAGTCAATCAGAGATAGTTACAGTCAGTCAGAGATAGTTACAGTCAGTCAGAGATAGTTACAGTCAATCAGAGATAGTTACAGTCAATCAGAGATACAGTCAGTAAGAGACAATTACAGTCAGTCAGAGATAATAACAGTCAATCAGAAACAGTTACAGTCAGTAAGAGACAATTACAGTCAGTCAGAGATAATTACAGTCAATAAGAAACAGTTACAGTCAGTCAGAGATAATAACAGTCAATCAGAAACAGTCAGTAAGAGACAATTACAGTCAGTCAGAGATAATTAGAGTCAATCAGAAACAGTTACAGTCAGTAAGAGACAATTAAAGTCAGTCAGAGCTAGTACAGTCAATCAGAAACAGTTACAGTCAGTAAGAGACAATTACAGTCAGTCAGAGATAATTACAGTCAATCAGAAACAGTTACAGTCAGTAAGAGACAATTAAAGTCAGTCAGAGCTAGTACAGTCAATCAGAAACAGTTACAGTCAGTAAGAGACAATTACAGTCAGTCAGAGATAGTTACAGTCAATTAGAAACAGTTACAGTCAGTAAGAGACAATTACAGTCAGTCAGAGATAATTACAGTCAATCAGAAACAGTTACAGTCAGTAAGAGACAATTACAGTCAGTCAGAGCTAGTACAGTCAATCAGAAACAGTTACAGTCAGTAAGAGACAATTACAGTCAGTCAGAGATAGTTACAGTCAATTAGAAACAGTTACAGTCAGTAAGAGACAGTTACAGTCAGTCAGAGTTAGTACAGTCAATCAGAAACAGTTACAGTCAGTAAGAGACAATTACAGTCAGTCAGAGATAATTACAGTCAATCAGAAACAGTTACAGTCAGTAAGAGACAATTACAGTCAATCAGAGATAATTACAGTCAATCAGAAACAGTTACAGTCAGTAAGAGACAATTACAGTCAGTCAGAGATAGTTACAGTCAATCAGAAACAGTTACAGTCAGTAAGAGACAATTACAGTCAGTCAAAGATAGTTACAGTCAATCAGATACAGTTACAGTCAGTAAGAAACAATTACATTCAGTAAGAGATAATTACAGTCAATCAGAAACAGTTACAGTCAGTAAGAAACAATTACAGTCTGTCAGAGACAATTACAGTCAATCAGAAACAGTTACAGTCAGTCAGAGATAATAACAGTCAATCAGAAACAGTTACAGTCAGTAAGAGACCATTGCAGTCAGTCAGAGATAATTACAGTCAATCAGAAACAGCTACAGTCAGTAAGAGACACAGTCAGTCAGATATAATTACAGTCAGTAAGAGACAATTACAGTCAGTCAGAGATAGTTACAGTCAGTCAGAGATAGTTACAGTCAATCAGAAACAGTTACCGTCAGTAAGAGACTATTACAGTCAGTCAGAGGTAATTACAGTCAATCAGAAACAGTTACAGTCAGTAAGAGACAATTACAGTCAGTCAGAGATAATTACAGTCAATCAGAAACAGTTACAGTCAGTAAGAGACAATTACAGTCAGTCAGAGTTAGTACAGTCAATCAGAAACAGTTACAGTCAGTAAGAGACAATTACAGTCAGTCAGAGATAATTACAGTCAATCAGAAACAGTTACAGTCAGTAAGAGACAATTACAGTCAATCAGAGATAATTACAGTCAATCAGAAACAGTTACAGTCAGTAAGAGACAATTACAGTCAGTAAGAAACAATTACATTCAATCAGAGATAATTACAGTCAAACAGAAACAGTTACAGTCAGTAAGAGACAATTACAGTCAGTAAGAAACAATTACATTCAATCAGAGATAATTACAGTCAATCAGAAACAGCTACAGTCAGTAAGAGACAATTACAGTCAGTCAGATATAATTACAGTCAGTAAGAGACAATTACAGTCAGTCAGAGATAGTTACAGTCATTCAGAGATAGTTACAGTCAATCAGAAACAGTTACCGTCAGTAAGAGACTATTACAGTCAGTCAGAGATAATTACAGTCAATCAGAAACAGTTACAGTCAGTAAGAGACAATTACAGTCAGTCAGAGATAATTACAGTCAGTAAGAGACAATTACAGTCAGTAAGAAACAATTACAGTCAGTCAGAGATGGTTACAGTCAATCAGAAACAGTTACAGTCAGTAAGAGACAATTACAGTCAGTCAGAGATAATTACAGTCAATCAGAAACAGTTACAGTCAGTAAGAGACAATTACAGTCAGTCAGAGATAGTTACAGTCAATTAGAAACAGTTACAGTCAGTAAGAGACAGTTACAGTCAGTCAGAGTTAGTACAGTCAATCAGAAACAGTTACAGTCAGTAAGAGACAATTACAGTCAGTCAGAGATAATTACAGTCAATCAGAAACAGTTACAGTCAGTAAGAGACAATTACAGTCAGTAAGAAACAATTACATTCAATCAGAGATAATTACAGTCAAACAGAAACAGTTACAGTCTGTCAGAGACAATTAGAGTCTGTCAGAGACAATTACAGTCAATCAGAAACAGTTACAGTCAGTCAGAGATAATTACAGTCAATCAGAAACAGTTACAGTCAGTAAGAGACAATTACAGTCAGTCAGAGATAATTACAGTCAATCAGAAACAGCTACAGTCAGTAAGAGACAATTACAGTCAGTCAGATATAATTACAGTAAGTAAGAGACAATTACAGTCAGTCAGAGATAGTTACAGTCAGTCAGAGATAGTTACAGTCAATCAGAAACAGTTACCGTCAGTAAGAGACAATTACAGTCAGTCAGAGATAGTTACAGTCAATTAGAAACAGTTACAGTCAGTAAGAGACAATTACAGTCAGTCAGAGATAATTACAGTCAATCAGAAACAGTTACAGTCAGTAAGAGACGATTACAGTCAGTCAGAGATAGTTACAGTCAATTAGAAACAGTTACAGTCAGTAAGAGACAATTACAGTTAGTCAGAGATAATTACAGTCAATCAGAAACAGTTACAGTCAGTGAGAGACAATTACTGTCAGTCAGAGATAATTACAGTCAATCAGAAACAGTTACAGCCAGTCAGAGATAGTTACAGTCAATCAGAAACAGTTACAGCCAGTCAGAGACAGTTACAGTCAGTCAGAGATAGTTACAGTCAGTCAGAGATAGTTACAGTCAATCTGGGATAGCTACAGTCTGTAAGAAACAGTTACAGTCTGTAAGAGACAATTACAGTCAGTCAGAGATAGCTACAGCCAATCTGGGATAGCTACAGTCTGTAAGAAACAGTTACAGTCAGTGAGATATGTATATGTTACGGTGGAATGGAGATAGTTACAGTCAATCTGGGATAGCTACAGTCAGTAAGAGACAATTACAGTCAGTGAGATATGTATATGTTACGGTGGAATGGAGATAGTTACAGTCAATCTGGGATAGCTACAGTCAGTAAGAGACAATTACAGTCAGTGAGATATGTATATGTTACAGTGGAATGGAGATAGTTAGAGTCAATGAGAGATATGAGACTGACAAGCTACCCACCATGGCTTGCTGGTCTCCTGGGTGTAGTGTAGAGGCTCTGTGTAGCTGGCACATCTGTGGCAGGCAATCATCAACTGCTGCATAGTTGAGAGAGAAGAGGTGCTGTGTTTCCAACTGCTGCATCATGGAACAATATCAAACATACTCAAGCAACTCTGCTTCATGTTATCCCATATTTATCTCTTAGCCACATGTCTTCTTTTTCTCAGCGTTCACCGATTGTAAAACACGGTGGGAAATTTTTGTTGTTCATTCACTCCTAGACGCTGGTCTTGATCCAGAACTTGAGTTCTGCGTGCACATCCATTTTACAGATCTGTCTTGTATGCAGACTGCTGGTTGCTTGCCTCTCTGGCAGATGCACTCTGACTTTACAGGAAACACTCCTAATTAGCTGCCTCCTATGTTTTAGATGCAGCGGGTATTCTTTTTATTCTCAAAACTGGAGTCTGGGAATCCACACGCAAACGGGCACTTATTTGAAGACTAGAGACAATCAATTGGTGGTGTCATCAATATCATGATAGATGCAATTACTTCTCAGAAAATCTCCTGGCACGCCCTGGAGGCTGGGTGAGACAGGACCCCAGTAACTAAAATCTCCACCTAACAGGTGATATAATTCACTAACATCAGGCTGGCAGGATAACAACCAATCTTTGACACTAACACAGTTGTGTGACATAGGAGTAAAGCATGGTGAAGCAGGTCTATGCCAAATTCGAGGCAGAGATAAGAAACATTATAACAGCTCTTCAGCTCCAGTCACAAACCAATCAGCCCACAAACACCTCTAGTCACAAACCAATGGGCCCACAAACATCTCTAGTCACAAACCAATCAGCCCACAAACACCTCTAGTCACAAACCAATGGGCCCACAAACATCTCTAGTCACAAACCAATTGGTCCACAAACACCTCTAGACACAAACCAATTGGCCCACAAACACCTCTAGTCACAAACCAATTGGCCCACAAACACCTCTAGTCACAAACCAATTGGCCAACAAACACCTCTAGTCACAAACCAATCGGTCCAAAAACACCTCTAGTCACAAACCAATCAGCCCACAAATGTCTCTAGTCACAAACAAATCAGCCCACAAATGTCTCTAGTCACAAACCAATCAGCCTACAAATGTCTCTAGTCACAAACCAATCAGCCCACAAACACCTCTAGTCACAAACCAATGGGCCCACAAACATCTCTAGTCACAAACCAATCAGCCCACAAACACCTCTAGTCACAAACCAATGGGCCCACAAACATCTCTAGTCACAAACCAATTGGTCCACAAACACCTCTAGTCACAAACCAATTGGCCCACAAACACCTCTAGTCACAAACCAATTGGCCCACAAACACCTCTAGTCACAAACCAATTGGCCAACAAACACCTCTAGTCACAAACCAATCGGTCCAAAAACACCTCTAGTCACAAACCAATCAGCCCACAAACGCATCTAGTCACAAACCAATCAGCCCACAAACACCTCTAGTCACAAACCAATCAGCCCACAAACACCTCTAGTCACAAACCAATCAGCCCACAAACACCTCTAGTCACAAACCAATCAGCCCACAAACACCTCTAGTCACAAACTAATCAGCCCATAAACGCCTCTAGTCACAAACAAATCAGCCCACAAACACCTCTAGTCGCAAACAAATCAGCCCACAAACGCCTCTAGTCACAAACCAATCAGCCCACAATCACCTCTAGTCACAAACCAATCAGCCCACAAACACCTCTAGTCACAAACCAATCAGCCCACAAACACCTCTAGTCACAAACTAATCAGCCCACAAACACCTCTAGTCACAAACCAATCAGCCCACAAACACCTCTAGTCACAAACTAATCAGCCCACAAACACCTCTAGTCACAAACACCTCTAGTCACAAACAAATCAGCCCACAAACGCCTCTAGTCACAAACCAATCAGCTCACGAACTCGCCAGGTTTCCAGCTAATAAACAGTATTAATTTTACTCAGGTTTGTGATCTGTGAACAATGTTTGTCACCGCTTCATTTTTAATACAATTTTTGTGTGTGTGAATTAAATTAACTCATTTTGGCTCCCAAGAAAGTGAAAAAGTGTTGGTGACAGTGAGGTCAATAAGCCTAAGCATGTTACAGTCAATGTAATCAAGTCTCTCCAAACGCACAGAGAAGATCAGAACTTATTCTTAAATCTAAAGAAAACAAACATAATGTCCGCAGATACAACTGGCTGTCACCCAAACAAAACAACAAATGATGAAGAAACAGAAAATGTCACAAACTTTGAATATCTAACCAGAAATCAAAAGGAGGATGTCCATAGCAATGCAAAGATTAAACAGCATTAACAGTCTATGGTTAAGCACCAGCAAGGAAATCAAAATTAAAATTTGAGTGAATGCATCATCCCTGTAGAGGCATAAGAATGTTAGTCATGGACTATCTCCCGGTCCTTAAGAAAGGAAATAGGGGTTTTTGAGCTGAAATGCTATAGAAAGTTTCTCAGAATATCATGGACAAAGAAAAGAAGTACTGACATTTTAAAAGTTCGGAACATCAAGATACACTGGCTAATAAACAGCACCTTGTCTCGGAAGCTGAAATATTTTGGTCATATCGAGCGATATGGAGGATTTTAGCAGAGGACATGATATCAGGAAGGAGGGGTAGGGGCCAACCAACACGAAGATGGGCACATGATATAAGTGATCTCTTGAATATGAAAGTGCATGAGGTGGGAGAGTTGGCAGGAAGATGGGCACATGATATAAGTGATCTCTTGAATATGAAAGTGCATGAGGTGGGAGAGTTGGCAGGAGGATGGGCACATGATATAAGTGATCTCTTGAATATGAAAGTGCATGAGGTGGGAGAGTTGGCAGGAGACCGAGTTTCTTTCAGGCAGACCGTGATGAGAGCATTATTCTGCAAAGGACCTGCTACATAATGATTATATTACAGTAGAATTAAGGATGGAAATAATAACTAAAAATGATAAGATGCTTGTGTTTCTGATCCCCCAAGCAGTACGACATAGCTAAATCCACATCTTAAAGAATAAAAGTTGTGCTGAAGATGGCTGATGTAGCTAAGATAGATAATGTGTTAATGAGGGAAAGGTCTCAAGGGATAGAAGAAGTAGAACAGTTATTGTTAGCCACCGAGCTAGCAAACTGAACCACTTTCTAGGAAACAAACAGAAGAAACATAATACCAGAAATACAGTTGCCGAACATTATTATGTAATGGCACTCTCCTCTGAAGAAGCAGTCTTCCTTCTCATTTTACCATCTACCTGTGCCATTAACTATCAGCCAGAGGTCATGTTACAGTATATTTTATAGTTTTGTTACACTTAAATCCATTTTTTTAAAAGTTTCAACAACAATAAAAAACAAAAACAAAAGCGTTTCTGGAATGGGTGAACAGACTAACTGGATTTGTATTGATTGCAATGGAGAAAATTGTTTTTCTCAAAGACTGTGAAAGATAAGACAACCCTGCAAATGTACAATACCTTCCTGAAGACAAAGGGAGTGTTCTCAAAGACTGTGAAAGATAAGACAACACTGCAAATGTACAATACCTTCCTGAAGACAAAGGGAGTGTTCTCAAAGACTGTGAAAGATAAGACAACCCTGCAAATGTACAATACCTTCCTGAAGACAAAGAGAGTGTTCTCAAAGACTGTGAAAGATAAGACAACCCTGCAAATGTACAATACCTTCCTGAAGACAAAGGGAGTGTTCTCAAAGACTGTGAAAGATAACACAACACTGCAAATGTACAATACCTTCCTGAAGACAAAGGGAGCTATGATATTCTTCTCTTTCATCTCCACCGTTTGATCAGTGACAATCTTGATGATGCGCTCCACCCTGTGTCAGACAAGAGACAAACATGAAGTCTCCAACAAACATCTGTCAGGGTTGTGCACAAGATTTCCTTAGCATACCATACAGTATGTTTACATATCCCAAGAATGGTTTCTCCTACAGTCAACAACTGTGATCTGTCCCTAATACACACACAATCATTAGCTGAGGTTCACTCAGCTTCACTGCTTGTCTCCATCACACACACAATCATTACCTGAGGTTCCAACTTCACTGCTTGTCTCCATCACACACACAATCATTACCTGAGGTTCCAGCTTCACTGCTTGTCTCCATCACACACACAATCATTACCTGAGGTTCCAGCTTCACTGCTTGTCTCCATCACACACACAATCATTACCTGAGGTTTCAGCTTCACTGCTTGTCTCCATCACACACACAATCATTAGCTGAGGTTCACTCAGCTTCACTGCTTGTCTCCATCACACACACAATCATTAGCTGAGGTTCACTCAGCTTCACTGCTTGTCTCCATCACACACACAATCATTAGCTGAGGTTCCAGCTTCACTGCTTGTCTCCATCACACACACAATCATTAGCTGAGGTTCACTCAGCTTCACTGCTTGTCTCCATCACACACACAATCATTAGCTGAGGTTCACTCAGCTTCACTGCTTGTCTCCATCACACACAGTCATTAGCTAAGGCTTCATTCAGCTTCACTGCTCACTGGCTACCCCATAACTGCTCCAGTTTTGTGCCAGCGGAAATTACTCTAAATGTCCTTTACTGTCCCATTTGAAAACTAATCTCAGTCTAAGCAAAATCTGGAAACTTGCACATGCAAAGTAAATGCATAAGGCATCCATCAATTGTCACCTCTAACAGTACCATACCAGCAGGCTCTGTCTCCACCTGCTATTTTTAGTGCAGTTCACAATACAAAGGGTACTGAAAATGGTCCTTTACTTTATTCATCATCTACCACAAAGATGTAGAAATAACTGGAACATATAATTCATGCACATTTCTTATACACAACAACACTGCAATAATTTGCATGCTACACCTTATTACAATGCCTAAGTGTAGACTAAGCAGTAAAAACAAAGTGTGGTCTTGTCAACAGTAAAAATATGTGATTTCTCTCGTGCTATTTTAACGGCCTCAAAGGCTGCTTACTGCTCACAAGTGAGGATTATTGGTAAGGATCAAAGTCAAATCCCATGATGTGTTAACGGATTAAACATAACTTCTTCTATGATGTGTGAAAGATTAAACACATCTCCCATGATGTGTGAAGAAGAAAAAAACATCTCTCATGATGTGTGAAAGACCTTCCATAAAGGTGTGAAACACTAAACACACCTCCCATGATGTTTGAAAGATTAAACACACCTGCTATGATGTGTGAAGAATAAAACACATCTCCCATGATGTGTGAAAGACCTCTCATGATATGTGAGGGATTAAACACACCTTCCATGATTTAAGGGATTAAACACAGCTTCCATGATGTGTGAGGGATTAAACACACCTCCCATGATGTGTGAGGAATTAAACACACCTCCCATGATGTGTGAGGGATTAAACACACCTTCCATGATGTGTGAGGGATTAAACACACCTCCCATGATGTGTGAGGGATTAAACACACCTCCCTTGATGTGTGAGGGATTAAACACACGTCCCATGATAAGTAAAGCAGGTATTCTTGCTCCTTCTATGAGAACCATTTAAAAAAAAAACCATACAGATATGAAAACCAATGTTACTCACTTGGAGAAAAGCCCACCAGACCATTCTTCTATGTTGTGTACAAACTTCAGAGGAAACTAGAGTCAAGAGAGAGAACATGATCATTGTGAGAGACAAGAATATACCATCTTTGCTACTGTGAATACACAAGTTCCACTGAATGTCTACACCTATCATAAAATGCTTCACATCTTTCAGGTATCCAAAGAATGATCTGCTTCCCTACTGGCCACCACTTGTCTTCACAGTCTGAGCTTATGAAGGAGATTTTTTTTAAACATTGATAGACCATGAAGAATACTGTGTGTAAGCCAGCATGTGTGTGTGTTTGCGAGCATATGTGTGTGTGCGAGCATGTGTGTGTGTGTGTGTATGTGTGTGCACACGAGCATATGTGTGTGTGCGAGCATGTGTGTGTGTATGTGTGTGTGCGCGCGCAAGCATATGTGTGTGCGTTTTAATGGCTGTACTCATTCATGTTTGCAAAAACATAAAGACCTTGAATTTTAGTATCTTTGGTATTCAGCAAGCATGAACTGGAGCTAAAAAAACAGAAGACCCACATCCTATTCTCATGCATGTATCAATTTCTCCATCACCAATGTTGTCAAGTGTCTAAAACACTTCATGAGAAGTAAACAGAAGACCCACATCCTATTCTCATGCAGGTATCAAATTGTCCATCACCAATATTGTCCAGTGCCTAAAACACTTCATGAGAAGTAAACAGAAGACCCACATCCTATTCTCATGCATGTATCAAATTGTCCATCATCAATATTATCCAGTGCCTAAAACACTTCATGTGAAGTAAACAGAAGACCCACCTCCTATTCTCATGCATGTATCAATTTCTCCATCACCAATATTGTCCAGTGCCTAAAACACTTCATGTGAAATAAACAGAAGACCCACATCCTATTCTCATGCAGGTATCAAATTGTCCATCACCAATATTGTCCAGTGCCTAAAACACTTCATGTGAAGTAAACAGAAGATCCACATCCTATTCTCATGCACGTATCAAATTGTCCATCACCAATATTGTCCAGTGCCTAAAACTCTTCATGTGAAGTAAACAGAAGATCCACATCCTATTCTCATGCATGTATCAATTTCTCCATCACCAATGTTGTCCAGTGCCTAAAACTCTTCATGTGAAGTAAACAGAAGAGATCAACAGTACCACAAAGTGAACTGATGACACAAATCTCAAACAGACCATCCACATTCTTGGAGCATTTCATGAGAACAGGACAATCAGAGCAACCAGAAAACTGGAGCGGAAGAGAGGCAGTTTGAGACCTAGTGACAGGTTGTTAGTTTGGCATCATGACATGTAGCAGACATGATAGAAAGGACAGCAGACAGAAGGCCGCCACCAGCACCACACAGTACTGGCAATCAGAAGACAAAGTCTATTCTTTGTGACACTCAGAGGAAAACTAAGTTCACAACATAATTATAATTTGCTGTAGAGCATATCTTTGCTCACAGATATGACATTATTTTATGAAAAGAAACAGTTCGTATTTTAATCTTTGCATTGATAGCACATTATACAGTATATTATAGGTCATAGCTGCTACAATACAGTGCAGACCTAAGGAGAACTCACCAGGAATGCAAGAAATGGTTCTTCTAATCAAAAATTCCTCTTTTCAAGAGGCAAGAAAAATTGCCGGGGACAAACAAATTGTTCTTCACAACAGAAATTTGTCACTTCTGAGATCGCCTTAAACAGTCTGCACTGCAACTATTCAAATACAGTTACTAAATATATTCAAAACAATAAAACAGTATCAAAGCAAAACATGTCTCTGCGAGTGCAAACATGCAGGCAGCATCTTCAGAGAAAGAGATGACACAGAAATGGAAGCAATATTGACCACAGACAAACACACTGACTAATCAGCTGTCTTATGATGGAAGATAAATGACAAGTGACAGACAGTGTATTCTTCTAGCCACACTCATCTGGTCAATGTTAGTGTGGTCCCTATCAACATCCCACCCAAAAAAAACACATCACATCTGAGAGGAAATGAATGACAGAGGTTGTTAGGATTTCTAAAGGTGACAGAAATAAAACTTCACAAGTACATCACCTAAACACAGACACCACACAAGACACATCTGGAACAGACTTAGCTTATCAAGTGAATGGCAGTAAACCTTCTATACTTACCTTGATAATAGGAAACTGTATTTCCTTCGGAACAAACACAATCGATTTGGAGCACAATTTCAGATGTCCTCTCTGTTTCCTGCACACAGAAATATGCTCAAGTCAATCATTGTAATGGTCAATATGTTACCCAGGCCACTGAGAAAGACAACAGAAGCATACTAGCACTATAATATAGTCATGTTGTTAGAACTGACTACACACAATTGGTCTAAGACTTTCCTCTCACATTCTGTTTTGAAAAAATGTCCGCTGCACATATTCAACCAATGATAGTAAAGGTACAAAGGGCATGAACTCACTGAGGGCCTATACTCTCCAGGCAAATGGGTGTAGAAGAAGAATGAGCAATAGCAGCAAATTTGTTTTTGTTTTTCTGAAATTTAGACAATTTGTTTTTCTGTTGGAATGATTTGTCTTTTATTTTTGCTTAATCATATGTTAATGCAACGGCACAGTAGATTGTCCTCATTTAAGCTCACAAAATGAACACCTTGTTCTGAATTGGACTGAGGCTAAGCACAATATAACATAGACATTAACAAAAGAAACAAAGACACTAACAAATCAAACAAAAAACACTCACAAAACAAACAAAATTAGTAACAAAACAAACAAAGACATGAACAAAACAAAGACATTGTGTGACCTACTTGTCCAGAGCTTGATGCTGGGACAGTCCTGCTGGGTAGTAGTAGACACTGAAATCTTCAAAGTAAATCTCTCCTGGATCCAGCAGAAGTAGTGAAAACCTTATGGAAGACAACAGATGACACTTACAGAAATATGAGTACAGCTGGCAGCAAACACAGGGTTCAGACACTGCTATTCTTCCTTGACTGTGTTCACCCTTAACTCTTTGAGTCCCAGGGGGTTTAGCATCACAGGCCCAGTGGGTAGTAAATAACGTAATAAAATTGGCGCATCATGCGGTAAATGGGCTTCTAGGTAGGAACCTATGAACGCATGATGCGTTCCTTGGGACTCAAAGAGTTAAAGTGCAGCTCACAGCAAACACAGGGTTCAGACACTGACATTCTTCCTCTACTGTGTTCACCGTTAAAGCGCAGATGGCACACTGCGTTGTGGTTGACAGCTAGCCTATAATACTGTTTAGTCAAAACATTAGATATCTGAAACCCCTTAATTAAATACCTTTTATAAAAAGCTTGTTATGGGCTAGTGGGTCTATTCTTCTATTTCTCCTCTAAACTTTCATTAACTCTGATGCAAATGTTTATACACAAACCCCTGAATATAATCAATTATGTTGTGCTGTTTGGTCAGCATTGTAGACCAGTGCAGGCAAATTTATCAGGACTGTTGAGCAGTGCATCAGGCAGGCAAATCTGTCAGTCTGTAGAACTGTGCATCAGACCGGTAAATCTATCAGGTCTGTAGACCGGTGCATCCAGCAGGCAAATCTGTCAGTCTGTAGAACTGTGCATCAGACAGGAAAATCTGTCAGGACTGTAGACAATGCATTAGACAGGCAAATCTATTAGGCCTGCAGACCAGTGTATCAGACAGGCAAACCTGACATGTCTATCTTTCACAAGCTATCTGCATGGTAATAAAGTATTTAAATCTCCCTCAAGGCAAGAATGTATTTCACTGGCCGATCAGACACAAATTTGCATCAGGAATTTCCTCAAAAATAAAAGTTACTAGACTGTTATTGACCATATAACAAATAGAGCATCAGTTTTGGTTTTTTGTCAACTTCTGGACTTTAGTCTATTTCCAGAACTTGAGTTTTGCAAACACATCAGTTTTACACATCATATTTACGTGTAGACATTAATTTTTTTTTTTTTTTGCGTACCCATTTTAAGAATCTGGGCTGACAGGACTGGAAAAGGTTGTTGCAGGGAACTGATCCCTGACTAGTTCATCCATCACCTGATCACCGTGATTGGAAAGGGACATTTCTGAACGTTGGTATACTACACGCCATTACCCTACATTTCATTCTGTTCCGTGTTAGAATTAACTGTACTGCGCTATACTGTACATAAGCAAACGGATACACTGACACAGCAAGGGGGTGTGTGTGTGCTATCGGCTCTAGTTCATCTCAATCTATGTTTACTTCCCATTGATATTAATATAATATGAATCACAGACTTACCTTTCTTGTCCTAAAGTATCCGTTTCTAGAAATGTCATTCTGTAGGTGGTTTGTGAAGAAGCTCGAGAGATGTGACCAGTAAAAGATTCCGCAACTACCACCTGACAGACATATGTTGACTGTTTACCTGAGGACGGTTGGGGTTGTTTCACGTCTGCTGACTTTCAGTTCACACAGCCGGAAGTAGCTTTCGGTTGCCTGTTAGTACGTCGACTCATTCGTCTCAACCAGGGCATCAGAACAGCTTCAGTACCCCAGGATTGGGTACACAGTTACCTAATTCCATTTCAAAAACCAGGCAAAGATCAATCCGGACTCAGCGGTTTCAGGATTATCACCCGACAAAATACTTTTGGCAAGGTGCTTGAGAAGATTATTATACTACATTTTTATTTGAAAGGAAAGAACTCCTGTCAAAAGGTTTAGGTAGCCACGGAAAGAACATTTCCAGAACAGATAGGAGACAGTTGTGGCAGCACTTGATCTTGGGGATGCCTACAATAGAGTCATATATAATATTTTGATATCTACGCTCACTGAGAAGGGAATTGTCCGTGGCTTGTGACCTGGGTACCAGCTGTCCTGCATTCACTTATGGTTGCCATTTGCATTGGTACATGGACCTCAGAACTGTGTAATATCGCCCCGGGACTACCATAGAGCTCTGCAATTTCACCAGTGCTCTTCAATGTATACACAAGCAAGATTGCAGAACTTGGAGCACTAGGTATTGGACGGATATTGACATTTTCAGACGACGTTCTTGCAAATAGGCAGAGGAATCATAGGCAGCGGATAGCCCAATAGCAACAGGCAACTGTAAGTAGACATAGTGACTGACTGGTGTGCTGAAGCGGGTGCTGTCATCAACTCAGAAAAGGTAGCTGTTTTGTGGTGTCTCTGGACAATAAGTCGGCTCTGTGGCTGTTGATGCGAACGCTTCGTAATGCCGGTTTCGATCCCAGCTGCGGGTCATGCGTCTAGCGTTGGTTTCGACAGTGGTATCAAGAAAGCCGACCGTCCAGAGCAATGGCATACTAAATACTATTGGACGTAAATTTGCATAGAAAAACCACACACCAGCCAGGTGCTGTTAAGGTTGGTTCTGCAACGCCCTGTAAAGGATACGAAACTAACCTGGACAATAGAATTGTAAGAGCAAATGTTCCAAGCCTCAATTAATAAAAAATAACATTTTTTTTTTCAAATCGAGCTGAGTTACCTGGGCATCATTTTTCGATAGAAGCCTCTCCTTCAGGGATCATGTGGAGGTAGTTGTGGTGAAATGTCAAAAAGGACCCCAAGTTCTCAATATTATGACAGCAATGGACAGGAACAAAGAATGCTGTTCACAGTCTTCCAGCATGTGATCCTGTTGATGATAGATTATGGGCTTGGAACTCTACCATATCAAAGAGTCAGCTGATAAAACTTGAAAGCAAATAGAATGAAGCCATCTAGGATGACAAGAGATATCCCGGTGGTATGTATGCGATACATAATTGCATTATATCTGAAGCACATTCGTGTAAAGTAACTAATAATTACTATAGTGCTGCAGTGCCTTTTGATTAACATTAGTAATATGTTACAGCACTTTCAAAGTGACATTAATTATTAAGTCTATGATGGCACATCAAAGTTACATTATTACTGATTTCACTTACAGCTATTAAAAGTAACGTTTGTAGTGCTGTTACATTACCTTTAAAGTTATAATAGTAGTAGTAATGCCTCGATACAGATTAAATACGAGGGACCCTCGAGCGGCCTTGTTTAAGTGCGCAAGAATAACTTTAATAATTATCATAATTTTATTATAAAATGAATGGCAAATGAGTATTCATTTGAAATTATTCGAAATGCATAAACAAATACTTGAACTTTCATACAGTTTGTCCTAAAAATAAGGAATGTAAGTCAAATTAACGTCATCTGTTCTTCATATGCTGACATGCAACAAATTTGTAACAGTCATTATATTAATTTCACACTAGCAATCATAAGCCTGGCTAGCTCAGTCGGTAGAGCATGAGACTCTTAATCTCAGGGTCGTGGGTTCGAGCCCCACGTTGGGCGCTACATTTTTTAAAGAGTCGAGGCTGGCCGAATGGTAGAGGTAGAGTACCAGGTTTGATTCCTCGAAACAGTTATGTATTTCTGAAATGTTAATCCATGGCCATCTTTAGATATATGGAGAACGCCGTGGTTAATCCTATCTTGGACGAAAAAGAAGAGAAATACTGACATCTTGAAAGATCTGAACATGAGAGCGACTTGCTGCAAAAGACCTGCTACATGATGATGATGAAATCTTAACCCACAGTCAGTGTCGAGTGGACTAGCTATGGGGTTTTCAATATTTCAGCCCAAAATCCCATTGCCTGCATCACAAAAAGCGGTAAATACAAAAGGTAACGTGAGGTCATGAAATTGCAGTTCCAGCTTCACTGCAAGCAGGTCACCCTACAAATGCCCCATTCCCAAGAAAACTACACAGAAAGTCCGTCACTGTCCATTGTGAAAAAGACAGTCTGCTGTTGCAGTCCGGGCAACGCCAAATAATTATATAAGGCAGCGGTCGTAAGTGCCAAGACAAACAGGGACGATGGTGACAGTTCATAGTCACGTCTCCTATCCTTAGTGATACAATGAATATACTTCCTACACGGTGACCTCTGGCAGGGAGCCTCCTATGAAACTTTTTGCCCTGACATGCTGGTGTGTTTTAAACAATCAGCTTGCTGGTTTTCACCAGTGGACGTTCAATTGGTGTATGACAAGCCAGGTGTGATAAAAGCCATTTGGACGGCAACTGATCAGTGAGCTGCATGCAAGAAAGAAGGATAAACTTTGCATTGTTTGGTTCAGTTCCTATGCCCCATTGGGGGATAGAAGGTAGCAGAAGAAGAATAGCATTCCCCAGCCCCAATGTAGAGGCATAAAAAAAAGATAGTCCCACTGCTCCTTTAACAAGCATGTCGTAGAAGTCGACTAAGTAGAGATGTTTCTTTCGAAGCTGGAGTGCATCAGCTTGGGAGGCGAGGAACCAACAGTCTGCATAAAAATAATCGAGATCTGTAAAACCGAAGTGCACTAAGAACTTAAGTTCAGAAGTGGACGAACAACGAGGATTTTCCTTTTGGAGTTTACAGCCAATGAACGCGAACAATATCAAGATAACACCTTTTTGTACTGTAATCATAAAACGTAGAGAAATCTGGCCAGGCGACGTAGCCCGGGAAGAAAAGCCGACTGCCGAAGCCGGAGAATCAGCGACATACCTCAAGTGACCACAACTCCTGTCTGTCCTGCCAACTGTTTGGCTGTCTGCCTGTCTTCTCTCCCTCTGTGTGTGGACTGTGAACACGGCTCTTGTACATGGACGCATCCGAGATTGAGTTCCTTGCTGAAAAGGAACACGTCAGAGTGATTCCAAATTTTTCACAGGACAAAATCTATCTGATAAGTGTAAGTTAAAAAGTACGTACGACCAGTGAGTGTACCCCAAGTACGAGTCGAGTAAACAAAACAGTTACGGTTTACGTTATATTCAATTGAACAATATCGCCGGGCATATCATCATCAATTTCCACTTCTCCCGTTTAGCGAACGAAAGAAGAACTTGTGCCGTTAAATTCTTAAGTAATGCTTCGTGAGAAGAAACAATATTTAAAAAAAATCGGCTCTCTTAGCAGATTTGGACGGCAAGCTAGACGGCGTCGGCCGGCTTAGTGGGAATTATGTCCCTTCACCAAACCCAAAACAAGTCGCGTAAAAAGTCACGAATCAAATGACATACTTACCTACCATCATCCGGGTGCGTGCAGGGTTGCGTAGGGTGTCTATCATCATCATACGGTTGCATGTAGGGCTGCGTAGGGTGTCTATCATCGTCCTACGGTTGCGTGTAGGGTTGCTTAGGGTTTGGGCTAGGGTTAGGGTTAGATGTGAAAATTTTCACGTAAGAGGTCGAAATACTGGCCGACAATCTGATGTTTGTGGGAGTGGCGCCACTGGACATGTGGCAAATATGACGGCAATAGCGCGCGGCTGGTGCCCAATTGGTGGCGAATTGTCTGTGTCAGTAGCATCCACTGTCTGTCGACTGTTTGCACGTGCATGCGACTGTGCGCGATTATAAGGAACTACGGCGTCACAATTGTCACATCTAACGCTACACCTAACCCCTAACCCTAACTCTAACCGTAACCCTAACGCTACCCTTAACCCTAACCCTAACGCTACCCCTAATCCTAACCCTAACCCAAACCCTAATCCTACCGCTAACCCTAACCCAACCCTTAACCACGCAAATTTATCAGTCATTAAAGCTTACAGATCGGCAAAACACCCACAGACACACAGAAAAAAAAAACCCTAGATTTTCCCGCAGCGTCAAAAGAAAAACCCAGATCTGGGGGACACAACCAAGCATTGGCAGCCCTGATGTCGACCTCACTGTCATGTTTGAGTCGTGACTTTTTCCGCTCGTTGTTGTGAGTGCGGCCAAGGGAAAGAACTCCCACTACGCCGACCGAAGCCGACCTACTTGCCGGCCAAATCTGCTAGGAGAGCCAAAAAATCTTATATATATATATATATATATATATATATATATATATATATATATATATATATATATATATATATATATATATATATATATGTACACATGTAATCTATACAGGGCATGTTACTGACGTTACTGTAACACTTTGTGGTGTTGGGAGGCAGAAACTGGATCTTGATGAACTTAATTCTTCAGAGAGGTCATCTTGTAGGCCTGGAAGATTCTTGTACATGTGTCACAATATAACACAAGTTTGAGAAAATGTGTGATCACAAGTAACACTGTGATGCTGCTAGAATTATTGCTAAACACAAACTGATGTAACATGCGCACGACTCGTTATGCGAAATGTCGCTCATTAAGAAAGTCATTTTTTTTTACAATTTGTTTTGCTCGTTATGCGAATTACTCGTTATGAGAGGTGCTCGTTATGCAAGGTTCTACTGTATATGCTTATTCTGTGTCTCCGTCCATCTGACCATCAATCCATATCTCTAGTCCAAGGTCGATGACCCTAAGCTTGTTTTTCAGTGGTAGACACGTTGTCTTAGTTTTTCAGTGGTAGACATGTTGTCTTAGTTTTTCATTGGTAGACATGTTGTCTTAGTTTTTCAGTGGTAGACACGTTGTCTTAGTTTGTCAGTGGTAGACATGTTGTCTTAGTTTTTCAGTGGTAGACACGTTGTCTTAGTTTGTCAGTGGTAGACATGTTGTCTTAGTTTTTCAGTGGTAGACATGTTGTCTTAGTTTTTCAGTGGTAGACATGTTGTCTTAGTTTGTCAGTGGTAGACACGTTGTCTTAGTTTTTCAGTGGTAGACATGTTGTCTTAGTTTTTCAGTGGTAGACATGTTGTCTTAGTTTGTCAGTGGTAGACACGTTGTCTTAGTTTTTCAGTGGTAGACACGTTGTCTTAGTTTTTCAGTGGTAGACACGTTGTCTTAGTTTTATCTTCAATGGTCCCTGTGTGGGTTCTCAGTCCCCAATTTTTTTTTTTAAAGGAAAAAGGAATAGACCAGTGCCTTCTGCAGATTTTAGACCTTGGTGCTGACGTCATTAGCTTGACGGATGTCACCACCCCAGGCTAATAATACCTTCTGTATTCACTCTGACAGTCCCTGAGTGAAGTTAGCCAGTTTTGTTTTCTTGGATGATTTATCCAGCAAGGATGTATTGTTTTGGACTTTTCTATAGCTGTTTAAAAAAAGAAACCATTCGCCAGAGATGGCAGCGCTTTTAAAGCAATGTTTACGTTAGAACAACCTTTACCACAGATACCACATATTTCACCATTGAATTGTATGTGTAAACTGCATGAAACAATATGCATAAGCACTTCTTTTGTAATATTTGCTTAATTTTATATTAGGATTTTTTGGATTTTGAAAATATTGACTGTTTGAGATGCCCTGGTGACTCACCATATGTTCATGTCATGTGGATGACAAGCCACAGTGCTAGATTTGTTTACATAAATGGCTTTCCTTGAATACCTTTGTACATCAAGTGCCTTTGTACATTAAATATCTTTTTCATTGCAGGGTGACCTGGGTCCATTCAGTGCGGGTCTTCCTGTATCGATCCCCCTTTGGTTGGCAGTCAACCTCAAACAGAGACAAAAGTGTCGAATCCTGCCACCGGACTGGATGGACATTGGTGAGACAGTTCACAGATGACAGACACTGCTATTATTTTTTTCAGTTTAGTCTTTAATAGATGATTATTTGTGAACAGAAATCATATCAAATGACAGTATTAGATTTCAGAGTGAGTAAGTAAAGGTCTCAGTGGTTCATTCAGCATATGAGACTTGTAACCAGTCATTTTCTCCTGGTAATTAATGTTTGCATTAATAATCAATTAATCAATCAGATACTGAACATAAATTATATACTTTAGTTTGGATGAATTGGGTTAAGGACAAACGAGTTACACATTTGAATGCAAGGCAAGCGAGCAGATTGACGAGTGCATGTCAAACAAAATAAATTGTGAATTATGTGAGTGAATGATGGAGAAACACAGGGGAAGGAAAGATTACTTAAGTTGAAGAATGATGGGGAAAGAAAGATTACTTAAGTCAGAGAATGATCGAGAAGGATCAGTGTTGTTTTGGGTTCCAGTAACGGTGTGTCTGTGATGCGGATAAATAAATCAAGTTTGGTTTGATTCTGGTCTGAAAATTCTGGTCAAAGCTGGACATGTTGTGTTTATTCAGCATGGAAGATTGTCATTGTCAAACTGTCACATGGAAGATTGTCAAACTGTCGCCGTGGGATTGTTCATGTGTATTTTTTTAATGAAGGTAATTCACTGATATGAACATGTTGAGATTAGTTGTCAAGTTACGGTCCCTAGACCGTCACCACAGTGTGCACTGGCTCAGGGGCAGTTGTGTGAAGGAATAAACATTGACATCTGCATCGGCTGCACGTTCGTCTCATTCACTGACTCAGCTTGTTGAAGCATGAGTTGGTGTGCATCTGAGAAGTCTACAAATGACTAGAGCCAAGAGACTGAGTTAAAGAGAGTCATTGCAAGACTCATATTTCTTTAGACTGATCGGCACTTGGTGGCTGTTGTGGTCAGCTTTATGCTGGCAACATTTACTGTTACCAGGAGCCCATTTTAGGATAGGTCCATTTGGGAGGCACATATTTGAAAGTGCTGTAGCTTGTTGCACCCTTTCTGAGATACTGTTTACTTAAATATATAACATTTCCATTTTTTTTATGTTGACCCAACTACTGCTAGATAAGCTGTGTTACTAGGGCCCATACAGGAAGCACAGAATACTACGAACAAACAAACTTTATTTTCAAAGGGCAGCAAATTGGGCAAACAGGCCTGTCTTACATTGGGCCCTTCCAAACTCCCATCTTTCACACAGTAGTTGTATTTTATCAATAAAGCATGTTATGTTTATATAATAATATGCATAATATGAATGCTAAGTAAAAAAACAAAAGCATGGGTGGTAAAATGCATGCGTGCCCGCGAACACACACATCCACAAACACATGCAAATTTACTCACACATACACACACACTCACACACAATCACAGAACAGACACACACTCGCACAGACACAATCACAAGCAGACACACCCCAAACACATATAGACAGACACACACACAGAGTGTGAATGTAACAGCTAACCAAGTGTAATGTACACACTAATATAGTTTTCATCTTCATAAAAAGAACACACTTGGTCAGAAAGAAACATGTTATTTTTTTTCTATTGCATATCAGATGGTCTGATAGTTATGTATTTTGGGCTTTGTAAATCAGATTTTCATTTATGTATGTTGTGCATCAGATGGTCCGATGTTTATGTGTGTTGTGCCTCAGATGGTCCAATATTTATGTGTGTGGTGCCTCAGATGGTCCAATATTTGTGTGTGTGGTGCCTCAGATGGTCCAATATATATTTGTGTGGTGCCTCAGATGGTCCAATATTTATATGTGTAGTGCCTCAGATGGTCCAATATTTATGTGTGTTGTGTCTCAGATATTCCAATATTTATGTGTGTGGTGCCTCAGATGGTCCAATATTTATGTGTGTGGTGCCTCAGATGGTCCAATATTTATGTGTGGTGCCTCAGATGGTCCAATATTTATGTGTGTGGTGCCTCAGATGGTCCAGTATTTATGTGTGTTGTGTCTCAGATGGTCCAATATCTATATGTGTGGTGCCTAAGATGGTCCAATATTTGTGTGTGTGGTGCCTAAGATGGTCCAATATTTGTGTGTGTGGTGTCTCAGATGGTCCAATATTTATATGTGTGGTGCCTCAGATGGTCCAATATTTGTGTGTGTGGTGCCTCAGATGGTCCAATATTTATATGTGTGGTGCCTCAGATGGTCCAATATTTATATGTGTGGTGCCTCAGATGGTCCAATATTTATATTGTAGTGCCTCAGATGGTCCAATATTTATGTGTGTTGTGTCTCAGATGGTCCAATATTTATGTGTGTGGTGCCTCAGATGGTCCAATATTTATGTGTGTTGTGCCTCAGATGGTCCAGTATTTATGTGTGTGGTGCCTCAGATGGTCCAATATTTATGTGTGTGGTGCCTCAGATGGTCCAATATTTATGTGTGTGGTGCCTCAGATGGTCCTATATTTATGTGTGTAGTGCCTGCAATGGTCCAATATTTATGTGTATTGTGCCTCAGGGGGTCTTTTATTTATGGGTGTGGTGCCTCAGATGGTCCTATATTTATGTGTGTGGTGCCTCAGATGGTCCAATATTTATGTGTATTGTGCCTCAGGGGGTCTTTTTATGAGTGTGGTGCCTGAGATGGTCCTATATTTATGTGTATTGTGCCTCAGGGGGTCTTTTATTTATGGGTGTGGTGCCTGAGATGGTCCTATATTTATGTGTATTGTGCCTGAGATGGTCCAATATTTATGTGTGTGGTGCCTGAGATGGTCCAATATTTATGTGTGTGGTGCCTCAGATGGTCCTATATTTTTGTGTGTAGTGCCTGCAATGGTCCAGTATTTATGTGTGTGGTGCCTCAGATGGTCCTATATTTATGTGTGTGGTGCCTGAGATGGTCCTATATTTATGTGTGTTGTGCCTCAGATGGTCCTATATTTATGTGTGTTGTGCCTCAGATGGTCCTATATTTATGTGTGTTGTGCCTCAGATGGTCCTATATTTATGTGTGTGGTGCCTCAGATAGTCCTATATTTATGTGTGTTGTGCCTCAGATGGTCCTATATCTATGTGTGTTGTGCCTCAGATAGTCCTATATTTATGTGTATGGTGCCTCTGGTGGTCTTTTATTTATGGGTGATGTGCAACAGATGGTCTGATATTTATGTGTGTAGTGTCTGCAATGGTCCTATATTTATATGTGTGGTGCCTCAGATAGTCCTATATTTATGTGTGTGTGTGTCTGCAATGGTCCAATATTTATGTGTGTGGTGCCTCAGATGGTCCTATATTTAAATGTGTGGTGCCTCAGATAGTCCTATATTTATGTGTGTGGTGTCTGCAATGGTCCAATATTTATGTGTGTTGTGCCTCAGATGGTCCTATATTTATGTGTGTTGTGCCTCAGATGGTCCAATATTTATGTGTGTTGTGCCTCAGATGGTCCTATATTTATGTGTGTTGTGCCTCAGATAGTCCTATATTTATGTGTATGGTGCCTCTGGTGGTCTTTTATTTATGGGTGATGTGCAGCAGATGGTCTGATATTTATTTATATTATGCGTTGCATAGCAAATGGTCAGAAACCACTGTAAATAGGCTGCACTCTCGTACGACATAGGCTAAGGCTGTGTGGGGGGTTGGGGTTAGGGCCAGTTGTAGATCTTCTGGGGTCGTTAAAAGCAGTCACCTGGTGTAATATAAAGCACGCGTCATCGCGGGTGAGGGTGTTGTAGACGGTACAACCTGACACCCCTCTAACAGAAAGTTGTGCATGTGAAGAGTCAGCAAGCATGAATAAAGGACCAGTCACGATGTGCCTGGGCCAGGAATCGTTACTAGAACCTACATGGTATTGTTTATCAAATGGTCTGATATTTATGTATTGTATATCTAATGGTGTGATATTTATGTATTGTATATCTAATGGTGTGATATTTATGTATTGTTTATCAAATGGTGTGATATTTATGTATATTTTGCGTTGTGCCTCAGATGGTCTAATATTTATGTGTATTGTATTTCAAGGGGTCTTATAATTATGTATCATGCACACTGCATTTCAGATGGCCTGAAAGATAAAAAACAAGAGGAAGCAGACAGTCGGTTTTTCACTGACATGCCGAGTCCATTTTACATGGAGATCACCCAACTTCTGCTGCAGTGGTAAAAATGTAGATGTAGTAGCCATGATGCATTGTTCTCAATGCTGTTGTCAATGTCACTACTGCGGTTGTTACAGTCAGTCTCTACCTCTTTGGGGGTGGGGGGGGGGGATTGTATCTATCTCTCAGTGAAACATAGATACAGGACCTCTGTGTGTGGGTTCCAGGACCCTATATGGGGGACAACGGGAATAGACCCACTGCCTCCCCAACAAAATGTCGTAATTGGGAGCTTCATTCGAAGTCGAAGTGCATCTGCCTAAGAGGCAAGGAACCAGCTATCTGCACACAGATAAGTTATAACTAGAACGGATGTGCACACAACACTCAGGTTCTGAAACAAGACTAAAGTTCAGAGATGGACGAATAACAAGAACTTTCTGCCGGAGTTTACACGCAGTAAATGCTAGAAAAAGATACCAGACAGCTCATGCCCAGCCCGGCTATTATTTACTGACTATGCATCTCCCTCCATGTCCTTCCTGTATTATACATGTGTTATAAATATCAATATCAGTGGCGGCGTCCGTGGCTAAGGCGTTGCGAGTCCCACTCGTAATACAGCGTACTGCGATCGAAACCCACTGCGGACTGCGTGGATTTTTATCATGGTATGGGACGTCGCAGGTCGACCCAGCCTCAAATGGGTGCCAGGATGGCTGTCCTGGGGAAGTAAAGGCAGCCGGCCTAATGCTGACCACATTACCCACCGGGTGCCGATTGGTCTGTAAAAATATGGGTGCTCTTCCCATATGCCCGATGCGCCTAAAGGCGTGAAAAGGGATCTTTACTTTTTTTTAAACTTATAAATATCAATATTATACAAAATAAATCAAAGTTCAACTGTTAGCCATTTCCCGAATGAGTTCCAGGGTTCTATATGGGGGGGGGGGGGGGGGGGTACAGACCCACTGCTTCCCCAACAAGCATGCTGTAAAATTCAACTAAATATGGGTATTTTCTTCACATTTGGAGTGCATCTGCCTCAGAGGCAAGAAACCAACAGTCTGCATACAAATAAGCCAGATCTGTAAAATGGATGTGCACACAAAGCTCAAGTTCTGGAATAAGACTAGAGTCTAAAATTGGACCAACACTCAGAACTTTCCTCTGGAGTTTACAGCTGGTGAAAATGGAGAACTGGCACGTTGAGGACTAAATCTGACCCACAGAGGGCTAGATATTGGCCCACGGATCATTGACATTTGAACTGTTTTTAATGAACTTTCTACGCTATGGTTCGGACCTTTCGCCCGTGACGATCGGTTTTGGCCAGGAGTAAAATTAGTTGAATAGCCCATTTTTACAACATCATCGTCATGTTGTGCTGTTATGTGTCACCTAATGCTCGCAGTCTAGTTCATTGTATCGTGTACAACTCTTTCTGTATCTTGGGTCGAATCCAGCCCAACACTGTTGACCCCTCTCACCAAGTTCATCTGAGACTTTCTCTCAGCCAGCCTTGTTTCCCCAATCCAATTGTTGCTATATTATACATCTCCATCTCTAATTGTCTTCTGTGTTTCTAGAAATTCCAGTATTTCTTTTGCACTAGCATATTATTTGATACCTTATGTTCTCACATTTTGTTTGGTTGTTTCAGATATTTTATTATTATGTGATACGTTATGTTTGTGGTGTGGAACATGTGATGTGACGCATTGTGTTCATATTTGATACACACTGATTGTTTGGGGTCAACTATCTTTCAGTGCAACGGATGATATCCCAGGAGCCGATGAAGTGAGGACTTTGATCAAAGACATCTGGGACCTGAGGCTGGCCAAGCTCCGGAGCAGTATTGATGTCTTCATCAAAAGTGGTGCTTCGCATGCCAAGGTGAGCAGGTTTCTTTCATGGATGAGCTTGAATAGCATCAGCTGCTACATAGTACTTTGGCTGCAGCCACAAGCGTATGCATCTGTTGCATGCAGAAAAATGTCAAAGCAGTTTTTCCCCCGTGTAGATTTGAACAAACTAGACACAGAAAAATGAATTAGACATTTTATTGCCTGAATTTTTTTTCTGTATCCCGTCACTTGTATACTGCAGCAACAATTAAATAGAATGAAGCCAATAAATGAATCCTGTACAATCTATCTTTAAAATAGACCCACTGCCGCCTAACAAGCATGTCATAAAAGGCTAGTAATTAGGAAGAATGTATAATAAGAAGAAACTAAGCCACAACTATCATGGCCATACCTGGTATCAAATTCAGACACTGATCCAGTTTGTGTTTTGTTTGTTTACATCACCAGCCCAACCATTTAACGTTAATATTCTGGCCTCAGACACTGACTTAATCTGTGTGTTTTGTTTGTTTACATCACCAGCCCAACCATTTAATGTTAATATTCTGGTCTCAGTCACTGACTTAATCTGTGTGTTTGTTTGTTTACATCACCAGCCCAACCATTAAACGTTAATATTCTGGTCTCAGACACTGATTTAATCTGTGTGTTTTGTTTGTTTACATCGCCAGCCCAACCATTTAACGTTAATATTCTGGTCTCAGTCACTGACTTAATCTGTGTGTTTGTTTGTTTACATCACCAGCCCAACCATTTAACGTTAATATTCTGGCCTCAGACACTGACTTAATCTGTGTGTTTTGTTTGTTTACATCACCAGCCCAACCATTTAACGTTAATATTCTGGCCTCAGACACTGACTTAATCTGTGTGTTTGTTTACATCGCCAGCCCAACCATTTAACGTTAATATTCTGGCCTCAGACACTGATTTAATCTGTGTGTTTTGTTTGTTTACATCACCAGCCCAACCATTTAACGTTAATATTCTGGTCTCAGACACTGACTTAATCTGTGTGTTTGTTTACATCGCCAGCCCAACCATTTAACGTTAATATTCTGGCCTCAGACACTGACTTAATCTGTGTGTTTTGTTTGTTTACATCACCAGCCCAACCATTTAACGTTAATATTCTGGTCTCAGTCACTGACTTAATCTGTGTGTTTGTTTACATCGCCAGCCCAACCATTTAACGTTAATATTCTGGCTTCAGACACTGACTTAATCTGTGTGTTTTGTTTGTTTACATCACCAGCCCAACCATTTAACGTTAATATTCTGGCCTCAGACACTGACTTAATCTGTGTGTTTTGTTTGTTTACATCACCAGCCCAACCATTTAACGTTAATATTCTGGTCTCAGACACTGACTTAATCTGTGTTTTGTTTGTTTACATCACCAGCCCAACCATTTAACGTTAATATTCTGGTCTCAGACACTGACTTAATCTGTGTGTTTGTTTGTTTACATCGTCAGCTCAACCATTTAACGTTAATATTCTGGCCTCAGACACTGACATAATCTGTGTGTTTGTTTACTTCACCAGCCCAACCATTTAACATTGTAAATATTCTGGTCTCAGACACTGACTTAATCTGTGTGTTTGTATGTATCGCCAGCTAAACCATTTAACATTGTAAATATTCTGTTCTCAAACACTGACTTAATCTGTGTGTTTGTTTGTATCACCAGCTCAACCATTTAACATTGTTGGAAATGAACACAGTTCGACAGTTTCTCACCAAGGCTCTTGATCACATGCACCGACTGAAGCTGTGTGTGAGTGGAGACCCGGCCGTACAGCAGTAGCAGCATGTCTTCATACATTGTTAGGCACTAGAGATGGCTGACTTCTGATGCCACAGCTCTATGTCTTGATCACAGATGCCAGACTTCTTCCATCAACCCACACATGATCTTTTGGGCACATCTGTAGAATGTGAGGGCTTTTTGCTTTCTGTTTCTTCCTCTTCTTCTTCTTCTTCTTTGCATTTACCAGCTATAAACTCTGGTGGAAAATTGTAGTTTTTCGTCCACTTCTGGACTGCAGTCCTGTTCCAGAACCTGAGTGTTGTGTGTGCATCCATTTGACAGATCTGACTCATTTGTATGCAAGCTGCTGGCTGCTTGCCTTTCAGGCAGATGCACTCCGACTTGGAAGGAAGCTCCCAATTAGTGGACTCTAATCACAAGCTTTTGGGTAGGCAGTGGGTCTGTTCTTGTTTTCTCTGTAAAAGGGCCCCAGAACCCACACGGGCAGCTTTCATTGTGACTTTAATTCTGGCTTCAGACATAAACTCAGATGTAGTTTTGAGTACATGGACTTCCATTGAGTTTGTCCGTAACCGGTTGCTGGCGTCTAGGGCAGTGCTCAGAGACTCCTGTTACATCTGCTGCACATCTACACACATTTAGTCTCGGCTCTCATTTAGAGAGCATTTCATATCAGTGATGGACGATTAGTGAAAGACTGTCCAGCCTGCAGAGATGTAGTTCCTTAAGTGAATGTTGACAGTGCCATGGTTAGACTATTAGCCTAATGTTGTGAAAGAAACTGACACAAAAAGAGGACTCATGATCTACATTGGAGGCAGACAGTCTGCATCCTTTGGTCACATTGTGACAGAGGAAACTGGGAAATGTCTCGTGACAATGGAATTGGTGGTCGGGGAAAAGAAGCAAAGGCAGACTAAGATGGAAGATGCTGTGCTTCTTTGGCATCATTATTTGGTAGGTCCATCCGAAATAATTGACAGGAGAGGAGATAGGGGGCTGTGGTTGTTTGGCATCATTATTTGGTAGGTCCATCCGAAATAATTGACAGGAGAGGAGATAGGGGGCTGTGGTTGTTTGGCATCATTGTTTGGTAGGTCTATGCAAAATAATTGACAGGAGAGGAGATAGGGGGGCTGTGGTTCTTTGGCATCATGGCATGAAAGGCCTGTCAGATATGATAGACAATACAGGAGACAGATGGTTGCAAACAAACATGATAACCAATGCCACACAGCTTGGACTATCAGAAGAAGGTGGCTTGCACATTTACCTTGTTAAAGGTCACTTGTGGAAGTGTATCATGGCAAGGTTACTCAAGGACCCAGGACATGTGACACACAATCAGTTGTGGAAGTGTATCATGGCAAGGTTACTCAAGGACCCAGGACATGTGACACACAATCACTTGTGGAAGTGTATCATGGCAAGGTTACTCAAGGACCCAGGACATGTGACACACAATCACTTGTGGAAGTGTATCATGGCAAGGTTACTGAAGGACCCAAGACATGTGACACACAATCACTTGTGGAAGTGTATCATGGCAAGGTTACTGAAGACCAGGACATGTGACACACAATCACTTGTGGAAGTGTAGCATGGCAAGGTTACTGAAGGACCCAGGACATGTGACACACAATCACTTGTGGAAGTGTAGCATGGCAAGGTTACTCAAGGACCCAGGACATGTGACACACAATCACTTGTGGAAGTGTAGCATGGCAAGGTTACCCAAGGACCCAGGACATGTGACACACAATCAGTTCTGTAGCTCTCTAGAGGGATGGCTCCACTGGTCCTAGATTTAGGTACCACTGGGATTTGTGTTTGTTACATGGTCACTTTGTTGTAAAGTGATTGAATTAGGTCTATATACTTTCCTCGGGATAGACAGAGTCAGTCTAGTTAGTGATGACCTGCTAGTACAATAGCAGCCATGCTGCCATAAAGGGTTGTTTCTGATATACATACATTTATATCCTGACTGTTGTTATGGAGTTGATACACTGTGTAGAGATGCTCCTGGTGTGATCTGTAGGGGAGTTGATACACTGTGTGGAGATTCTCCTGTGTGATCTGTGTGGGAGTTGATACACTGTGTGGATATGCTCCTGGTGTGATCTGTGGGAGAAGACTGAGGCACTTACAGAGATGTCTGTATGCCGTGAAAGTGATTCTAAACCAAAGCAAATGGAAACTTTTACCATGATCTTGTGTCCATTTGTTTTTCGGGGTTTCTGTTAACCTAGTTCTAGTACACCCTTTTTTAAAAAAATGATTTTATTGTACATATCTGGACATGATAAATAAAGGTGTTTAACATCACAGCTAGCTTCTGTCTGCAGTGTTGTGTTTATGATGTAGTTATATTTGTGGCGTGCCCTCAACTTTAAAAGAGACTGTTTGTGCACACACTTAAAGTAGAAGTACGGCAGCTGTCACTGTTATGGCAGAAGAGACACCAGACGTGGTCTGACTGACTGGTTGTGGCAGGGCCTCAGTCTCTGGTGCACACTGATGAGAACTGACAACACTACAGATAAAAACTCAACAACTGGATAAATAAAACAAAGTGGCGATGAATGGATATGGCATACAGATCAGAAGAAATGAAACTAAATGTTAACACTGTAATTTTGAGGATAGAGCTAATGTTTTCTGTGGGCATCATGTAGCGAGAGAATGGAGGGTGGCCAAAGTCAATAGAATAGGAAATGATCTACACCAGTATTGATTCCAAACTGATAAAAGCTTATAATGGTAGCTGAGTGACTGTTCCATAGAACCACACAACTAACATGGGATGATGTGAGTGTGAGTATGAAGACAGCCTATAATGATAGTTGAGTGACTGTCTCATAGAACCACACAATTAACATGGGATGATGTCAGTGTGAGTATGAAGACAGCCTATAATGATAGTTGAGTGACTGTCTCATAGAACCACACAACTAACATGGGATGATGTCAGTGTGAGTATGAAGACAGCCTATAATGATAGTTGAGTGACTGTCTCATAGAACCACACAACTAACATGGGATGATGTCATTGTGAGTATGAAGACAGCCTATGGTAATAGTCGAGTGACTGTCTCATAGAACCACACAACTAACATGGGATGATGTCATTGTGAGTATGAAGACAGCCTATAGTAATAGTCGAGTGACTGTCTTAGAGAACCACACAACTAACATGGGAGATGTGAGTATGAAGACAGCCTATAATGATAGTCGAGTGACTGTCTTAGAGAACCACACAACTAACATGGGAGATGTCAGTGTGAGTATGAAGACAGCCTATAATGATAGTTGAGTGACTGTCTCATAGAACCACACAACTAACATGGGATGATGTCAGTGTCAGTATGAAGACAGTCTATAATTGTAGTTGAGTGACTGTCTCATAGAACCACACAACTAACATGGAAGATGTCAGTGAGAGTATGAAGACAGCCTATAATGATAGTCGAGTGACTGTCTCATAGAACCACACAACTAACATGGGAGATCTCAGTGAGAGTATGAAGACAGTCTATAATGATAGTCGAGTGACTGTCTCATAGAACCACACAACTAACATGGGATGATGTCAGTAAGAGTATGAAGACAGCCTATAATGATAGTTGAGTGACTGTCTCATAGAACCACACAACTAACATGGGATGATGTCAGTATGAAGACAGTCTATAATTGTAGTTGAGTGACTGTCTCGTAGAACCACACAACTAACATGGGATGATGTCAGTGTGAGTATGAAGACAGCCTATAATGATAGTTGAGTGACTGTCTCATAGAACCACACAACTAACATGGGATGATGTAAGTATGAAGACAGTCTATAATTGTAGTTGAGTGACTGTCTCATAGAACCACACAACTAACATGGGATGATGTCAGTGTGAGTATGAAGACAGCCTATAATGATAGTTGAGTGACTGTCTCATAGAACCACACAACTAACATGAGATGATGTCAGTATGAAGACAGTCTATAATTGTAGTTGAGTGACTGTCTCGTAGAACCACACAACTAACATGGGATGATGTCAGTGTGAGTATGAAGACAGCCTATAATGATAGTTGAGTGACTGTCTCATAGAACCACACAACTAACATGGGATGGTGTCAGTGAGAGTATGAAGACAGCCTATAATGGTAGTTGAGTGACTGTCTCATAGAACCACACAACTAACATGGATGATGTCAGTGTGAGTATGAAGACAGTCTATAATGGTAGTTGAGTGACTGTCTCATAAAACCATTCTGTGTAATGACACGTGGACGACGTACTTGAAAGGGAGAAAATCATTGGAAGACGAACGAACGAAATTTATTTTCAAATGGTCGCAAAATAGGCACACAAACGTCTTAAATTTGGCCCTTCCAAACTCCCATCTTTTACACAGCAGTTCTATTTTATCCATAAAGCGTGTTAAGTTCGTGTAATAATAAGCATATTATGAATATCAAGTCAAAAACAAAAGCATGGTTGGTAAAATGCATGCGCATAAACACATACACACGCACACCCATTCACTCACACACACACACATAGGCACCCAATACACACATACATACACATCCACATACATACATACACACAGACACACTCTAACAAACACACACTCTAAGACACGCATACAACCAAGACACACACAGCTATACAAACACATACACGCACAGGCAGGGAAACACAGGGACATACGCAACACTCACACATACACAGAGACAAATACACACACAGACACATAAACCAACACAAACAGGGACGCGCACACGCAGACATTATTATAATAGACACACCCATAGAGACGCACAGACAGATACACAGACACATAATGGCACATACATACAAACACAGGCACGCGCACACATCAAAAAGATACAGACGAAGCTACACAGACACACACACAAGCAAACATTACATAATAGACACACCCATAGAGACTTACACAGATACACACAAAGCCACACAGATATACACACAGGCACATGCAGACACACACACACACACTGACTCACAGAGACATGCAC